TCCCTGCTCACTCCCCTGCTTGCCCCTAGGCTCCCCTGCACCTGGCCGACTCCCCCACAGCCACACCGACCTTCCCGCCCTGAGTCCGCCTCTGGCACCGTGCCCAGCGCGACTCCTCTACCCCGCCCACTCAGCCCCTACAGGGCCGCTACCATTCCCGCGCCCGACTCCGGCCCAACTCCGAGTCCGGCGCTGCTACGATACCATTGCCGCTATCGTGGCCCTACGCTCTTTCCTTTATTTATCTGTTATTGTTTGTTTTGACCCTCGGTCATTGCCGGCCGCTATGCGGCCAACCCCGCTCCTTATTCTTGTTTGCTTCCGGACCCTTCGGCCTCCGGCCCGGGTCCGCTTCCATTCATTTCTTCCTCCTATATATATCCTGTATGATACTTTATTGTACCTTAGCTCTAATATCAATGTGACCACGACCCCTAAGTCCTGACCCCAACAAGGCAACCCCAGTGAGTCCGAAATGAGGGCCAAGAGACAGCTAGGGGGCACAGCACTCCCTTTAGAGTTGCTGAGGCCAAATGCCCTACCCCCGGGCCTTGTTCACAGCATCACGGCCATCGTGGCCTATAGCGGCCCGCATAGGCGACCTTCGGTGCCGACCCCGGACCAGTGTCTAACAGAATGTGGAAATACCACGGACTTACAAACAGGCGATGGACCATCATGACGCGGGTTCATGGCTCGAGGCTTGTGTGGAAGAATTATCAGCATTAAGGGAGACAGGAACTTACGTCTCAGTGCGAAAGCGAGACGTCAATGCTCAGAATGTGGTTGGTTTGAGATGGGTATTTGCGATAAAGAGAAATGTGAACGGAGAAGTGGAGCGCTATAAAGCGTGCGTGGTTGCGAAAGGTTTTAGTCAGGTCCACGCGATCGATTACGATGAGACCTTCGCACCTGTGGTCAAATGGACCTCCATTCGAATACTCCTAGCCCTATCCGCCCATCTCGATCTCGAACTTCATCAAATGGATGTAAAAACCGCCTTCCTCAACGGCGATCTAGAGCACAAAATCTACATGGATCCCCCTCCTGGATGCGATGATTATGGGCGGCCCGATATTGTGTGGAAGTTGCAGAAGAGCCTCTACAGACTCAAACAGGTGTCATGCGCCTGGTACAAGAAGGCGAAAGCCGAACTCAACAAACTCTACTTCACGTGCTGTGAATCAGACCACACAGTATTCATTTATTCCTCCCACGCCAAATTCTGCATCGTCGCTTTATATGTCGACGACCTCCTCATCACTTCAAATGATCTCAACTTACGTCGAAAGAAGAAGAGGCAGCTGCATTCTGCGTTCAAAATGAAAGACTTGGGCGAAATTCATTGGTTTCTTGGACTGGAGATTACTCGCGATCGCGCACGGCGCTTAATTACCGTTTCCCAATCACGATACGTGTCTGACGTTGTCAAAAGATTTGGCTTTACTAATTCTCGCAGTATTTCAACTCCCATGACCCCTAACCTTAAACTCCTTTGCCACAATCAACCCGATCCTGAAATCAACACCTGCAAGTACCAATCACGAATAGGCTCCATTATGTACGCGATGCTCGGTACCCGACCGGACATTGGCTACGCCGTCACCACACTGAGTCAGTACTCATTGAATCCAGGGGAAGAACATTGGATCGCTGTTACGGGGATGGGGGAAATTCCCCATTCCTCGATCCGTTCTTATAGAGGGATGAGTGAGGTCATCTTTGGTCTGTACCATAACAGGATATGTAATCGATGAATGATCCCAGTCTTGCCTGGGGGTGGACGATCGAGTTCCCATCGATCGCGATTGGTGATGTAGTGAGCTATTAAGGGATTGATGGTAGGTAGTTGGAGATGCCAGGACGGACGGGTCAGCCACGGGTACTTGGCGCTCCTCAATGGAGCGTACCGTGTGCGAGGTCGCGACTTGTGAGATGGGTGAGAACTTCATATAGTTGCCATCAGGTACTTGGCGTTCGCAGTGCGAACGTACCGGTAGCGGGTTGATGTCATAAGCATGCAATGAGGACTGACTAGTAGGGCCTTCGGTGACTTGGCATTCCCAAAGGGAACGTACCGTTGGCGGGGAAACATGATGACTGGCGAAGGAGGGAACAGACGGTGGATGGGCGGCGACTTGGCGTTCGCGTAGCGAACGTGCTGGCATCACGGGAAGATGGGCCTCAAAGTACTCACGATCTCCAAGATCGTGAGGTGACATCGTATGCTGAGTACTGGGGGAGAGCGGAGTGATGAAGACCCATAGGGTACAGATTCAGTAAGACGATACACATGTCGAGAGTCTTCGACTCTCGACCTCGAGTTCTCGCGGCGAGGGCCGTTAGAGGACTTGATATAACCAGACTTATAAGACATATTGAGAGTTGTACAGTCACATGGGCTCAGTCGAGTCACAGGGAGGGTTGTTACAGAAGACGGTACACAAGACAGTTGTAGAGCAGTTGTTAGTTAGCGGGAACCGCCTTCGGCGGTTTCCGTACAAGACGTGTGACTATCTACAAATGGTAAGGTCGCGGGAAATCCCGCAAAACACAAACAACCTCGGCCAGCACCAAAACCCCAATGGGGAAAGCTTTGCACGAGGGGGGGGAAAGGGGTAGAACGGGTAAGGAGGATAGGGTAGTGGGATAGAGGACGGAAAGGAGAAAGAGGGGAGGAGCGATGGAGAGGGGAAGTCTTTGACCATGCGATGGATATGGTCGTTGGAGACTCCGTATCCGTAACAATCGCCATCAATCGACTTCTTCGCTATCTCAACGCCACCAAAGACTACAAATTGGTCTATGACGGAAAGTCAAAATTCGACGATCACACTGGATACTCCGATTCGGATTGGGCTGGAGTGTCAGAGTACACCCACTTCCGGCCACTTCCAGCCTACTTACCATCATGATCTGATTCCATGATCTATGATCACCCAGATTCCATGATCCATGATCCCTGTACAGCCTTATGATCTGATCCCACTCCAAGATCCATGTTCCATGATCCATGATCCAACACAGCCAGACAAACCTGGATCATTGATTGTTGGTATGTACAGTGCCTCGTAGATTAGCTGTGTGTGTGGGCTACAGTATATTACACCCTGAGTAGCGAGCAGGAAGACCAGCTTTCTTCTCTCATTTCCCCTCGCTGCTCAGGTATGTTGTACATAGTAACATAGTGGCTGGAATACAACTCATTTCCCCTCGCTGCTCAGCTGGAGCCTGTGTCGCCTAGCACACCTTGCGGTTCTCCTATTGAGACCGACCCAGACCTTCCTAGTCTTACCTCCACTTCCACTGGATCTCTTGACCTTAGCTCCGAGCAACTCGGTATCCTGACATGGAGACCCAAGAGACTTTCGTTCCGTGTCTGGTTTCGTTTTTATAATGGCTGGCGCAGCTATTAGCTGGAGCTCGAAGAAGCAGACATCTATTGCACTCTTGAGTACAGAAGGCGAGTACATGGCAATGACTCATGCTACTAAAGAAGCACTTTGGATCCAACAGTTCCTTCGTGACATACACTTCCCTCTCGCCCATTCCACTTCCTTACTCGTCGATAATCAGGGCGCTATCACGCTGGCGTCAAATCCCACCTTCCACGCTCGTACGAAACACATTGGCGTTCGACATCATTTTATTCATGAACACGTTGAACACAACGACATCACACTCGATTACATTTCAACAAACAACCAAGTAGCTGACGTCCTTACAAAGGCTCTGGTGCATGAAAAACATTTGAAGTTCTGTACTGCGATGGGATTACATGAGTAGATCTAGCGAGTGGGCGTGTTAGAATTCTTGGTATTATGGTGTTTGCTATGACCAACTCACGTTTGGTGATGTTGAGTCGTGTGGCGTTTAGATTTACACCTATTACCTTTCTTGGTGACATCCATGCCAAAGTCAGTGCACATTCATAGTGCCTGACTATAAAACCCCAATTTTTGGACAACCCAACCTTTCCTCAGTTCACGTACAACGGGACTGAGGTATGTTGGTTATATCATGTTTGTCTTTGATAAATCATGTATTAAACATTAGTCCACCAGCGATATGAGGAAATTTGTATCCGGTGCGACTACTGGACTTATCCGGAGCTCCAAATTCTTATGACGTAAACCAGCGTGACTGGACAAATGACATAAAATGGACAAGCCTGGTATCGAACCCAGGACTTCTAGCGTGCATCCATACACTACTCGCCCGTTATGCCAGGGGGGTACCCTTCCTGATGGTTTGGGAGATCACTTGATCCCTTCCTCCAACACGATAAACTCGCTAGGTGATTACTTTCTAATCTATTCTAGTTCACGTACAACGGGACTGAGCGATAAACTCGCTAGTCCAACATTTCGTCTTATACTGCATGCCCCACAACACCATTCTCTCTTTGCTCAAAATGTGAATTTGCGTTCGAATTCCCTGCTTCACCATCTGACTCACAACCTGAAATAGAAAAAGATTTGAGATAACCATGAAGTCTCTGCATGAACGTGCCAACACGAAGACAATCACGAGACTTACATAGTCGTACAACATAGGAGAGTACACACCCGAAGGCTCCCTGGCCTTGTCACATGAATATAGTCGTGCACTTGGTAGAACAGCATTTATGTAATCGGTTCCGACCCAGGATATTATGTAAACTGGAATTTACATAATAAGAATCTGAGTCACCGGAATCATCCGGAGTGTTCTGGATTGTCGTGGGAAATCCCCAGATATTTCCAGTAAATTCTCGCTTATAAGGGAGAATGTTATTCTTTTTTTGGTGGAACCCAAATAGCTTTCGCGATACATAGACATGTATTTGGGGTTTGTGTAGGGAGGTAGGATCCCAGGGAACGGGCCGGCGCTGTGTGCCACGTGACACCGCCTCGAAAAGGGCCGGTGTCAGTTTCAGGTGGGCGGGCTGCTTATGTAAGCCTCGCAAGGTTATCTCTTCCTCTACCTTTCTCAAACATCTTCGCCCAAGACACCACGCAATGTCGTCTATCATAGTATCCCCTGAGCAAGAGGCTGCTATAGTCAGTGCCTGTCGGGAACACGAGCGTCAACATAAGTGGGAGAAGAACTACAGACGCTGTGTAGTCACTGAAGACTTCTTCGTTAAATTTGGGAGCTACAATTCAATATACCCCCAATACATGACGCAGAAGTACATCTCTCAGCTCGCAGCCATGAACCCGGATGCACCACACATTCCCGAGGTTTATCACTTCTTCACCGAATACCTCACCCCAGACTATCGGATGGCGTACTTGGTCATGGAACGTCTCGAGCTTACACCCATTTCAGACCAGGACCTCTCTCCAAGGGTTTCACGGGCTCTCCAGTGGCTTTATAGCCTTCCAGCTCCCGCAGAGGCCGCGATTGGCGGTTTGGGAGGTGGCCGCGCCCGCCATGTGCTATTCAAGGACCGCAGGGCGCCCCTAGATTTCTCGAGTATAGAAGCTTTAGAAAGATACATGAACAAGGCGCGCCGATTTGTCATAGTTTTTTAAGCGCTCGCCACCAGCCAACCATGACTTGGGCTAGGCTCGCATGCAGATCCGGTTCCACACGCTAGACCCTATCAACATAAAACATGAGTCGTTGGTTTTCACTCAGTCCGATATGGACGTGAGCAACTTCGGCGTCGACAAGGATGGGAAGACGTGCCTTTTCGACTTCGAGACAGTAGGACTACTACCGCAATCCTTTGTTACTTATACCATGTCTCCAGCGGACGGGTCCTTCGCCGCTAAGGTCGCCGGGCACTTGAATTTACCGCTGTCCCCAAACATACCTTCGATGGGAAAAATTAGTGAACTTCTGTGGATATTAAGTGACCCGAAACTTGGTACGTCAACTTAAACCTAACACGGAGTTTTTAATCAACGTTTAAAATAGGTCTTGACAATAGCGGCATGCCTAAGAGGAAGCGTTAAATTTCTATATATATCCTTGCGATCCCGAGGCTAAGTCTGGTAAGCAAACATCTGCTTGTCGTAGAATAACTGAACTAGAATGATAATCCCTGTTCTTTGTTTGTCAATTCTGCAATCATTGCCCCTATTTCTTGTCTTGTAGTCTATTTCTTTCATGTGCTCTTGACAGCCAGCTCGTGTTTATGTAATTTTTTGGTCTGAGCTTGCTGCCCGTTCAACTTCACCCCTTGGAGGTGGCAGCTCTAATCGCATAGCAGTTACAGCGAAGTGGTACCATAGGAACTGTTGCCCTTGTTGCACTGATAGCTCTCGGTTAATGAAGATAGAAACGATCGCGCCCGCCCCCATATACTCCAACGTGTGGGTACAAGGATGGCTGGCGGAGGCATGAAGCACAGTGTAAGCTCGTATGTGTTAACCCGCAATGCTTCCGTCCATAATAAACATTGTTACATACAATTTCGGGCTTCCCTGAGAGCAGTGGAGCCAATCTAAGGCACTTTTACGAAGACGCCACTTTACATTAAAGCAGTGACGGCACATGGGATGCGATTCGCGCTTCGACCGCTCTACATAATGTAAAGCTCGATGTGTATACGACATAATGATGGAGGACACTGGTTGGGGCACTGATGGGGGCAGTGCAGAGTCCTGCAAAGCGCGAAGCGCAAGCACTCTAGTTATCACAGTGCAGAATAGTACACGGGATAATTTGGCTCTGAACGCAGTGATTGGCATCCAATCGGGATGTTTGCTGTGCTCATTTTGCCCCTCTCGGATCCCCAGGCCCATTGTCTGTCCGCGCCTTTACCCTCAGTTGTGTACGTCCGTGCCACGGCTTTCCTGCCCCACTTAAATCAATCGGATATCTCAGGGTCATCAACACGGGTGGGCTATGTATATTTCTGCACATTTGGGCACAGCTACTGATACTTGTGCAGGGAGCCATGCTGTGATTCCGCTCGTATGCAACCTGTTCAGGGTTCCAGGAGCATTTCGCCCTGATTCGGTCAGATGTATTATGGTTTTTTGGTTGGGTGGGTTGACCACTCCGACGTACCACTGACTGACGAGCCAATTACGGTAGCCCGGCCACCCTTGCCACATAGCGTATTGAAAAGCTCGCTCATGTACACCACGGCGTAACAGCACGGACAAGTTAACCGCACTGCTACGTGACTACGCCAGGGGCTGCGACGCAACAAGAAACTTACATCACCATCCCAACCGAGCAGCGTTACCGAGCCGGTTTCCCAACGGGGTGGCGCATCAATCAGTCATGGCCGGAATTTTCCATGTAGGGCTTTATACGAAACGGTAAGGGAGGTAGAGGCTGGGATCCTGCCTATAAGGGAGGGTATTGAGGGATTCAGGCTTAGGGTAGAACGTTGGGAATGGCTCCCAAGACATGTATTTACATCAACTCTGAGGCAATTCGATTGCAAATGGGTCGATATTGCAAAAGTTGGTACCTCAGCGCTGGATTCGATAAACTGTAATGTCAACCACCACTGTCTTCGGATGGGCCATTTCAATTGAAACGCCAGGAACATGCACGTGCTCCACAATGAACCGAATTGGCAACGGTCTGTGGGAACGTCTGACACTGGGAATATTAATGGGATATCTGCGACCCCGTTTTCTGCCTCCGCCTCTCCGCTCCTTCAAGAGACCTTCCCATTTCCTTCCTTAGACTTTCCTTTCATTACCCTCTCCGTTCCCTACTAGTGTTGCACGCCACACCTGTGCTTTCAATGTTGAGACCTTCTTTTGTCTGGCTCATCCTCGGATTCACCTTCCTCTTACCGGCGGGTGCTGCGAACCTGACTGACGGCTGGAGAGATCCTAGTCCAAATTTTCTGCAGAATGCCTACATTGTTGAACTGTACACTCCCGATGCGCTCCAGAGTATAGCGGGATTGGGTACACGCGTTTTGACGTCGGTATGTTGATTTTCCAAGTCATGACATTCACGACGTGAAACTCATTCGGCTAACTGGGCGTGCGGTTCGTATAATAGCCTCATGATGTTTTGTACAAGCGCCTTGAAGAGCGTGGCATCGAATACTCCATACGGAGCGTTTTCGACGATGCTGCCTTCCTAGGCGTTTCGCTTCAGCTGACCGTAAGTCCGCCCCTGCGTGTCGCTTTCCCTTCATTTAATCACCCTTTCTTTAGAGCTCACTTGTAGGTCGCTTCCGTGGCTGACTCAACACTTGAATATTTATTCTTATGGTTGCTGACCCCGGAATTTGACTTCTAGTATGTGCAATCTCTTGCCTCGATCCACGATATCAAGTCTTTGTATCCCGTCCAGCTTTGGCAACGCCCGTCTCCGCAAAATGTGCAGGTTCTCGCTGGAACCTCAGGTGCGGACTGCCCTCCTGATGGGATGTCGGCACTCCAAATGATCGTACGTTCACCTTCACTCGTGATTTCTGGCCTTTCAGATCGTTATGGAAAACCAAATGCGTAGATCTGACATCCCATCCGTTTCCAGGGTGTCGACAAACTTCACGCGCAAGGCTATTTGGGCAAAGGCGTCACGGTTTGTGTCATCGATACGGGCGTGGATTACAGTCATCCCTATCTTGGCTCTGGGTTTGGACCAGGTCACAAAGTGGCTTTTGGATACGATTTCGTTGGGGACAGTTTCAATGGGTCTAACACTCCTCATCCAGATCCAGATCCTCTGGATCAGTGTGCTGGACATGGAACACATGTGGCAGGTATCATCGGTGCAAATCCTGGGAATCCTTACGGATTCTCTGGAGTTGCGTACGAATCTACGTTGGGAGCCTAGTAAGCCAATATCCATTGAGGGCTCACTGGAGAACCAATGGTCTAATGTTTCCCCACTCTGATTTAACTTACTAGTCGCATTTTTGGATGCACAGGAACAACGCCAGATGACAGTAAGTCACCCTGATCTTTTTACATTATTATGATTTATATAACGCTCTACTTTCGCCCCGCGTATAACTCGACTGGACAAGCTAGTCATCATAGCTGCGCTCCTTCGAGCTAATAAGGACAAATGTAACGTTCTTAATTTATCCCTTGGCAGTCGCTCTGGGTGGTCATCAGCTCCCAGCGCTGTTGTTGCGTCGCGAATCGCGGACATGGGGAAAATTGTTTCCATCTCAGCGGGTAACGATGGATCTTACGGCCCATGGGTAAGCTGCTATCGTATTTCTCGCCATCTGACGACACACGACCTCGATTCTCTTCATTAGGACGCGTCCAACCCCGCAACAGGCCTTAACGTCATTTCTGTCGCCTCCGTTCAAAATACCAGGATCCTTGTTCAGAACCTCACCGTTGTAGGGGCAGCTCATGGTCCCATATTTTACTGGGGACTTGATCCACTCAATCTCCCTCAACCTGATTATCCTTATGACACCCCTCTGTCTATATATGCTCTTTCGACTAATACAAGTGTGGTCGGGGATGGATGCTCACCGTTGCCGGATAGTACTCCCAATCTGAATGGGAAGGTTGTTCTCGTTCGGCGAGGACAATGCCTCTTTACCACGAAGTTGGCAAATATTGCGGCGAAGGGCGGTAATGTCACGTTGATTTATGATAAGTAAGTTGTTTAAGCAGTATAGACAGAGTAGATACTCATGTGTTGTTTTCAGCATCGTTGAGACTCTTTGGTCCCCTCCCGTTGCGCCTTATATCGCTACTATCATTTCACCTAGCGACGGAGAGTTCCTTGTCAAGCAATTTGCCGCTGGTATCGATATCAAAGGTAATGCATGATTTCGTTCGATCGTGTGTTTCGCTGAGCATTTGTTTACATGACATGCAGTTGTTTTTCATAAAGGCGGTATCTCTTCAACGACCCCTAGCTTGGATGGAGGATTGGTGTCCAGTTTTACGTCGTATGGCCCAACAAATGATATGTTCTTCAAGGTGATTTGTCTGACGTTAATGAACTGGGCCTTGAGAATTGACCGGCCCCTTCTCGCTGCTTGTTTCTAGCCAGCTGTGGCAGCTCCTGGTGGAAGTAAGCCATCGGATCTTAGGGCAAATAGGATGATGTTTATATAGCGTTAACCTCAGATATCATCTCGACCTATCCGGTGGCTTTGGGTTCTTATGCAATCAACTCCGGCACTTCGTAAGTATCGTCATCGGATATCAGATGAAGGAAGACCTTACTGGATTCTTAGGATGGCTGCCCCTATGGTCTCCGGTGCCTCTGCGCTCCTCTTCGAGAAATTAGGCACGACTCGTTCTGTAGCTCGCAGAGCTCGAAAGCTTTTTGAAACTACTGCATTGGCCATTCCCTCCGACAAGACAGGCAGTTCACCTCTTCAGACTCTCGCTCAGCAAGGAGCAGGTCTGATCAATGTCTACAATGCTCTCAGCTACGGAACCACATTAACTCCTGGGGAACTCCTTCTAAACGATACCGCTCACTTTTCTGGAACCAAGATTCTGAATCTCCGAAATGAGGGAAAGCGGCGCCAGTCGTATACACTCAGTCATGTGCCAGCCGGTACGATCAACACTATTCGTGGAGATGGCTTTCAACCGGTCCTTGGCCCCATCCCTCTCACGACCGACTACGCCAACGTAACCATTATCCCCTCGAGCATTTCCCTTAGCCCTGGCGCAACGGCCAAGATCTTGGTTATTGTCGATCCTCCGAAGACTGGGGTCCACACTCTATTTCCGGTCTATTCTGGTTTCATTCAAGTTCGAGGGAGTTTAGGAGAGGACCTTCACTCAAGTTATCTTGGGCTAAATGCCAATTCGTTCGATCTGAAAGTGATCGACTCTACGAGTTATTACTTTGGGTATCGACTTCCCGCGTTGTGGGATTCAAAGGGGAAGGTTCAGGCACCTGGCCAGGCGTATGCTCTTCAAGGGAATGATGCTCCTACGCTTGTTTACCGACTGGCAGCGGGTACGGCTGCGCTATATGTGGATCTTGTGTCGGCGAATACGACGTTTGCACCAAGTATCATGAAGAGGGATGGCGTCTTTGAGCGTGAATGGTGGCCCCCTGGCAATGTTCTGCCTGCAGCGGGGAAGGTTGCGATTGTTGGTCGATTGTCAGCGTTTTATTACAGGCCTCGAAATGTGGACGCTTCTTGTGAGTGACATGGTTTCCCTTCCCTTTTATCATGCTTTCCTTCCTTTGTTAAACTCCTGCTTAAAACCTGTCGCTCACTTTCATCGTGCTCCCTTCCGCCTGTGATTTGCAGATCAATCCGGCGGCTACAACTTAGTCCCCATTACTTCTCGGTTTGCCAACTCGACTCAGATACCAAAAGGTAACTATAAGGTCCTCGTTCGAGCGCTCAAGATTACTGGTAATCCTAAAGAGGAATCATCCTACGAGTCTTGGCTTTCCACTCCTTTTGCTGTCGTGTGAAAAAGTCCATTTCTAATTGAATGATACATAACGTTACATAGTTGTTGGTAATTTTTTAGTTCTCCGTCTGTTTTCTTATGTTCACTCCTTGTGGAAGACGATCGCTGCGATACTACTAATATGGACATTACTATCTATCCAAGCCTATTTACGCATACCACGTAACTGCTGTTGGGGGACTACTGGGTAATTTAGATGGAATTCGGGGTGGCCGCTATGTAGTTGGCACTCCAGCACTGAAGCAATGACCAGATTTGATAGTCAAATACTGCCCATGATAGTGGGTGGAACACCAACAGGATAGCAAGAATGTCACTCTTATACATGACAAATGTCATAAGTCGTCATCGAACTGGTTTATCGGCAGTTTCAAGTCCAAAATCCGCGCTGGGTCTGCCAGCCGTATGCATTAAGGTGTGGTCAGGCTCAACGGGGCAACCCAATGATAAAGTGGAAGTGGGGGACTGGGGTTGAGTGGACCTGGGTTGCTCAAAGATCAACCATTGCTGCCTCGGAATGACGGCCGAGTTTGGAAAAAGCATCATGTAGGGTTTTGAGTGAAGTGGTCAACTCTGCGTCGTATGATGCGGGATGAGTAGCAACTAGCTGACGGTAGAGTTCGACGCTTTCTTCGATGAATGGGAGCACCTCAGGATACTGCCTAAGTTCGGAGTGAACGAGGGACAGAATAGTGAGCGACTTGGCCAAAATTGGAGTGTACAATTCTGAGTTAATGTGAACTAGTTGGCGGTAGAGTCCGGTATTTTCTTCGACAAATGGGAGCGCCTCTGAGTACCGTTCAAGGCGGAAGAGAGAGGTACATAACTTGTCGAGTGATGAAGCTAAACCAGGTGTATATAATCCTGGGTGGGCAGCAACTAGCTGACGGTAGAGCCTGACACTTTCTTCAATAAATTGGAGTGCTTCCGAGTGCCGTCCAAGTATGGAGAGACTGAGGTATAGCTGGCTAAGTGACGTGGCCAAATTTGGTGTGTGCAGCCTCTGGTGGACGGCAACTAGCTCGCGCCAGAGTTTGACGGTTCCCTCGATAAACGGCAGCGCCTCGGAGTGCTGTCCAAGAGTGAAAAGATTTGAATATAGATAGCTGAGTGACGTGGCCAAATCTAGGGTGTATGATGCTGGATGGGAGAGTGACGTGGCTAAATCTACGATGTATGATCTTGGGTGATTGGCAACCAGCTCGCGCCGGAGTTTGACGCTTTCTTCAATAAATGGGAGGGCTTCAGAGTGCCGTCCAAGATTGGAAAGAGCGCTACATAGACTGTAGAGTGACAATGCCAAGTTTGAAGTGTATGTTCTCGATGAATGGGAGCGCCTCAGACCCCCGTCCGACTTTGGAAAGAGCTAAATATAAATTACGGAGCGAAGTGGGTGATTCTGGGGTACATGACTCTGGGTGAACAGCAATCAGCTGGGGCTGGAGTTTGATGCCTTCCTCGATGAATGGGAGCGCTTCGGAGGGCCGTCCGAGTTTGGAAAGAGCCAAATATAGACTGGTGAGTGTCGAGACTAAATCTTGGGTGTATATTCCTGGGTGAATCGCAACCAGCTGGCGTCGGAGTTCGATACATTCCTCAATGAACGGGAGTGCCTCGGAGTGCCGTTCGAGATTGGAAAGAGCTAAATGAAGATCACAAAGCGACCGGGCCAAGTGTGGGGTGTATGATGTAGGGTGAGTGGCGACTAGCCGGCGGCGGAGTCTGACGCTCTCCTCAATGAATGGAAGCGCCTCCGGGTACCGTCCGAGGTCGGAAAGAGCATGATACACATTGTTGAGCGACAGGGCTAGATCTGGAATGTATGATTCGGGGTGATCAGCAGCCAGCTGACGGTAGAGCTCCATGCTTTCCATGATGTATGGGAGTGCCTCGGAGTGCTGTCGGAGTTTGGAAAAAGCACTAGATAAATTATTGAGTGATGAGGCCAAATCTGGGGTGTATGATATAGGGTCAATGACGACTAGCTGGTGTCGAAGTCGGAGGCTTTCCTCAACGAATGGGAGCGCCTCATGGTGCCGTCCAAGATCAGAAAGAACGGTGTATAAATTGTTGAGAGATGCGGCCAAATCTGGGGTGTACAATCTTGGCTGAATGACAACCAGCTGACGGCAGAGTTGAACGCTTTCCTCGATGATCGGGAGCGCATCGGAATACCGCCCAAGATCGGAAAGAGCTAAGGACAAATTGGAAAGTGATTGGGCCAAATCTAGGGTGTAGGATCCTGAGTCCACAGAAACAAGGTAACGCCAGAGTTCAACCGAATCGTTTGCTACCTCGTATGCTTCCTGGAATCTTGAGAAAAATTCAAAATTTGGCTGAAGGCGGGCGAGCACATCGGCCAGCGTGCGGATAGCATCTTTTGACCGCTGTTCAACAAACAACTGGAAAATGATGAGCGCCCATTCCATTAACACAAGTGATAATCCATACCTTAGCCCACTTCGGGAGCGATGAGATACTAATGTAGCGTTCCATTCTCAGACAAATTTCCACCCAGCGGGTTGCTTGCTGACTGAGAAACACGCGAACGGTTCCATCCAGCGCCTGTGACGGTTCCTGAACTTGACTGAGGTGATAAACAACATGACGACATGCATAGCAAAAGTGCTCGGATAACTCCTCGTGAGGAATGCGTGGCATTATGAGCCGTTTGGACAACTTTTCAATTAGTCCTAGCTCTCTATAGAACAGAGATCCTGGTTAAGAATCTCGGTACATCGTAGGGCAACCCTGGCATTCTCCATCCTCACATCTACTGGACTGCAATGGAGGCTGATAGCTTGTGGATCGATCCGATCCATGATAAAGTCACGGAAGGATTGGTGTAAGACACGAATCGGGATGTGAGGATCCTCAACTCCTAAGAAGAGAGGAGCAAGTCCAGCCAAAGTATATCGAACATGAGACTTCAGGAAACGTGACAGAATGGCGTCCCAAGCTGCGACAGACAGAGGCTGCTGTGCAACGAAGATCGCTCCCATCACAACTGGGTAGTCGTGCGCAAAATCTTCATCCTCCCACTTCTCCAAAATACTTGCATACAGGCGATCCATCATTCCCTCGGCAGAAACCAGCCACCAGCTTCTTGAATTGCATCGTGAATGGAGCCGTTGAGAGGGTGGGATCCTTTTGAAGAGCAGAGAGAACGAACGTGCGATAATCCGGGTCACGCTTTGCTAGACTTCGGGCCATGCTGCTGAAAAGATAATGAGGCCGTGACTGTTCGCCAGCTTTGAAAAAGAAGCAGAGTAACAGGACAGCTTCCTTTTCGCATCTTTCCGCTATAGTGTGTACAATCGAAGTCTTACCGGCACCAGCCACAGCAGTAAGCAGCATTAGCCGGTTCTCGCTATCCCCAGTGTTGCGACACCAAGTCATAATACGCTGGGCGAGATCGACCCTAGTGCCTTCTAGGCACGCCTCCGTCGAATCATAGTGAGCGACACCGTGATATCGGAGACTAGCGAGTATTGAGTCGCCCTGCAGACGGTCCTGACCATCTTCGATAGTCAATAATTTACCACCAATGGCCAAATTCATCCTAAGCTGCAGCGGCCGAAAATCAGAACGGTTATGGAAGATACTGAGGAAAGCTACCTGAAACGATGCTAATGCTTTGTCAAAATCTTTCTTTAGGCCATCGATCCTTCCCGGGTCTCTCAAGTGGGACAACACATTTATGAAAGTCGATCGTTTCTCTACTTTTGCGAGTCTTTGTTCGATTTTGGTCTTAATAATCTGTAGAGCGCTGGAACGCGGCATAGGTGGTCTTGAGGATGATCAAAAACGAATGCAACTTACCCATCGAGCATTTTTATATTTTCCACCCATGGCATTGCCTCGTCTGCTGACGGATCATAGGACTTGATGGCTGCAACGACCTCGGCCACGGTGTCAGCCACGTACTTACCAAAGTCGGCCCATTCCTTCTTATTCTCTTTGAACCTCTAAGTGATGTGAGCTTTCATTCGCGACCAAGCACAAATCGTTGCGAACCTGAACTTCGGTCAAGATGAAGAGTGCACCACCAGTCGCGCTCTGTAGTGGAGGAAACAAACCGGCCGCAGCATTGACGGCTGTGAGAATGGGAATTGCGATATCGCCCCCCGCTGTAAGGAGGTCATCGATCCTTGTCCTCAGAGTTTCTGCATTCTGCCGCACTGATGACATGGTCAATAACGGCGTACAAGTACCCAGGCTGGTCGATGAAAGTGAGAGGGCTTTAGGCGCAGACCGCACGGGGGGGCTCCGAGCCCATCGGCCTTTGTCACACGGTGAGGGCAGAACACAATTCAATCAAAGATCGATGAGAAATCATGGAAGGGCATGACACATGCTTCGGAACGGATGTCATGCCGGCCAGTCCTATCTATGTAATGACTACACTTGCCGAGAGAACTAGTACTATCAGGCGGGCTCAGTACAGTGGACATGCAAACCCGATATGGGCCTTGTATCACACACTAGACTAGACTGGTCACTGGTACCGAGGCCGCCGTGCCGTGGCAGCTAGCGGCAAACACCGTCGCGGCACACGGCTCGGCCACTGAGTCTGACCGTGGGGATCGAGGTCGCGCCAGCACAGATCTATTTGGTTATTAGCCCTGGCCTTGGACGCGACGCACCATATTAGTGCGACCGCTGAGTGATTATGTATCGGTGAATTAAAAAATTGGCAGTGGGACTTTTTACTTTCTTAGCATGCCACGGCATTGGCGACGACATTCCGAGTTTCCAGTGAGTTACTGGGCCGGCGTCTTGGAGTGGTGCAGATATCAAGTAGCCGCCCCTTGCATGGACAACTAACGTGTTTGCCTGAGCCTGCCTGAGGGTTTGCGTCTATTTAAGTCCGTGACTTCCAAAACACGGCCTCAAAAATTGGCCTCAAAAACGACGCCAAAGAAACACCCTTAAAAATCGCTATCAAAAACACGTCAAATATTCCAAATTGCCGCTTTCACACCGTCTTTGCAGGCGGTTTTCGAGTGCGTCCGTTGCTCCATAGGGAATGGTCATTAGGCTATCAGATCCATGTTGGGAGGTAGGTAGCGGCAAGGCGTTATTGTAGCGAGCGGGGCAGAGGGTGTCAGGAGAAAATTGGAAGAGCCCTCTCGCTACAGGGCATTCGAGGGGAAGCGATGGTGTTAGGAAGGAGTGTTGTGAATTGCCCGAGAAAGGCGGATATTCCATGAGGCTACTGCTGATAAGGCGGGGTTCGGCTATGAGCATGCCATGCATCTGTGGGACGTCGGACCACGTCCTGACTTGCTGCTCAACAGTTGAGCCGCTTGCGATCTGCGCACTAAGTCGCTGCCATTTTTGGACGATCACATGACTTTCATCGCCATCCGAATCGGGCACGCCGATTTTTGCTGTAACAACGGTTCTAAAAACGCCTCACTTGCCGTTTCCTATTCAGATCTGTGTTGCCGTGGCTTTGCTGACTTCCGCGAGCAATCGATCGCCTCTTCAGCCGAACGGCCCGGTAAATTCGACGCCTGTTTACATTACCCATCTTCAAGTAATGTGGAGGGCTAGTGGAGTGCCTCATTGTGCGTGAGAGCTGAAATCTGCGCCGCCTAGCTATCACTTATAAGCTACTAATCGACAGAAGTTCGTTCTAGAATGCTTGCACCCCTCCGCCTTTAGCGCTTCCAATGACTGATAGCCGTCCGAGCGTTGACCCTGAGGTGGCCACTATCGTGGCCCTAGGGACTCCAAAGATTTATCTACCCAAGTCAAAGACGGTGTCACACAGTGATGAAATCCACACACCGACACACTCGGAGAAGGACGAGTTCAAGGTGTCCTTGGACGAAAGCGAGTCACCATTGTTTCTTCCCTCGTTCAGAAAATGGGCTGCAGTCTGTGCGATATGTACTTCGACGACTTGCGTCACCTGTGGTTCATCCATGGTAATCCTGAAGTCAGACAGGTGCAAACATGACATCATTTCTCAAAAGTTTTGTGATCCTTCAGGCTGCTGCCACCTTCCCGCAAATAGAAAATCGATTCTCGATCGGCATTGAAACCGCAACGCTATCGATATCGTTGTATATTGCAGGATTGGGTATTGGCCCACTGTTTTTTGGAGGCCTCTCAGAGTTCCTTGGGCGCAACATAATATACAGGACTAGCTTCGTCACTTTCACCCTTCTGACATTTCCTGTCGCCTTTGCAAACAATCCCGGTGCGTTCATGTTTTCCCTGAACGAGGGTACCGAACCTTGAGCTCAATATTCAAATATAGCTGTCCACCTCATCTTTCGATTTTTTACCGGTTTTGCTGGTTCTGCGTTCCTGAGTGTTGCCGGAGGCTCAATGGCCGATCTGTTTCACAAAGACAAGGTCTCAACGTTCGTCGAACCTTTTCTTTGTTCTTCCTCAATCTATCTTCTGACCATCATTTACAGACCTGTAGCCCTCTACTCTGCCAGTCCATTTATCGGACCAGTACTTGGACCAGCAATATCAGGGTCAGTCGTACAAGCATATCCCTTCTCACTTAAATGAACCACATACCATAGCTTTATCAATTACAACGCGTCTTGGAGATGGACATATTACACACTCCTGATATGGTCGACTGTTCAGTGTGTTCTGATTTTCGTTGTAAGTGCCCGGGATACTGTTTCCTTTCCACGACACAAACACCAACCTCAAAAGCTCATCCCGGAGACGTATGTTCCCGCTCTTACGAATTGGAAAGCTGAAAGGCAACTATGTCTCTCATTCTCGAAGAAATCATGATGACTGATTCTTTGTCAAGAATACGAAAACAGACGGGAGATGACCGTTACTTCTCCCCTTACGATACTCAGGGTCGAAGCATGGCTGAGACCGTAAAGCTAAGTGTCTATAAACCTTTTCGTAAGTCGAACATATCCTATACTGCCGGTAAATCAACTTAATCCCTAGTCCTCTATGTGCCCAGTCATCATGTTGTACGAACCCATGGTACTCCTACTTAATATTTGGTGAGAAACAAATTCGTCGTGAGGCGCCTCCGACACACTTCATTTAACCTTCATTTAACGTAGGACATCTACCCTTCTGGGTATCGTTTATCTCACATTTTCCGTATTTCCCATCATATTTGGCGAGGTTCACCATTTCAGGAAAGATTTGGTTGGACTTAGCTATCTTGGACTTGGGCTTGGTATGATCTTTGCGACCGGATCTCAACCGATATGGAATCGGTCAGTTAAAACTTATTGCAGCTTCGTTGTGGTGTGTGTGGATTTTCGCTGGCTTATTCTAAACTGTTAGCGTAAATGCTCGGACGCGGGAGAAGTATGGGGCACTTGGGAAAGAACCTCCCCCGGAGACTACGCTGTACCCCGCGATGGCGGCCGCTATCCTCGTTCCTGTCGGTATGTACTTTTTACCCGCTTACAGTGAAGCGTGGGATTGGTTCACGTTTTCCATTTCGAACAGGCTTATATATGTTCGCCTTCACCGTCTACGGATCCGTGCACTGGGCAGTTCCAATACTCCTCATTGCACCTTTCGGCACAGGCACGGTTCTCGCTTTCGTCAGCACTTTCACTTTCCTCGTTTCGACCTATCGTGCAGATGCTGCCAGTGCCATGTCATCCAATTCGTTTCTAAGGAGTTCGTTCGCTGCTGCTTTTCCACTCTTTGCGAGACCTATGTTTCGAAGCATGACGAACACGGGAGCTTTGGCTTTCATTGCGGGTATGACGACGTTGATGGCACCTTTACCGTGGGTTGATTAAAGCTTAACTGTTTGTTTCCTTTTGTGACTGACGGGTGTGGGGTGTTGTTTTTTTTTTTTACAGATTTGTCTTTTATAAGTTTGGTCCACGGTTAAGAAAGAGATCGCGATACGCAGTGTCTTAAGGCATACTTGCAGCATTTACGACTTTTGATCGTAGCACCCCTACTACTTTTAGATTAGCGTGATGAGTCAGAGGGTTTAGGTTAACTCAACGAATTTCTTATAACTGAGAAAGTGGGGGTTGGCTTGTAATAAACTCTGCGTTCCGCGCCATGTCATATCTACGCCGGGGAAAATTACCATTTTTTTTCCTGCCGATTTCTAGGTCGCCCAATCTATTCGTCAAGGTACACCGGCAAATAGAATGGGCGAATGGGCCCAATTGGTAGCGTGGACGTGTTCCAAGTTACATGAGCTTGAACCCACAGCTGAGGTGCTCGGCTCAAATGCGAACAAGATGGATTCACCTGAACACGAAGGAGTACACATCACATTGCCAGAGCTGATTGGGGTTGTGATCAGGCGTCGATGCGAACACTCTGGCGTCAAGGATGGAAACCAGTGCAGATATTAGGTAGTTAGTCGCAAGAGATATCAAGCCTGCACAGCTGCTGGCGGAAGGGAAGGCCGTGGTTCGGGTGATGACAACGTGTAAGCTGAATCCGGTGCATCGGGGCCATTATAGAGCTTGCCCCAGACACCAGACGGACCAGCATGTCGCTTGGACGCGTTGTGAGCGGGTAGCACAGCATTTTTTGGGAAGGTGAAAAAGAAGACACCAGCGTACCTGAAGACGACAAAGTCAACAAGCAGGTATTGCTCTCCGAAGTATCCGAAATCTTCTCAATCTAGTGTCCCTCGGGTACGTATGCTTGCTGGACAACCACAAATGAGAAATCCGGAAAGACCAAAATTACACGAGTTGTATCGTTCGCTCGTTCGCCATCTCTGAGTCTTTCAGGACTACTCCCTCATACCATCGGACACGCAAAAGGTTTCCATTGGAATATAGATAGTAATATACGTACATTGGCAGTCGTGATGGATCGGGTGCTGGTGAAATGCACTAGGCGTAACACGGGAAGGGGGCATTCAAAGGAATAATTAATGTTCCGAGTCTCGGATTCTTCCATAAAACAACACGATTGCATGGGGCGGATTTTGTCTTCAGGGGGCGGATTCGACAGCTTCGTCCGTAATGAGCTCGACATCCTTGACAAGACCCTCGAGAACCAGCCGATGGAATGGATCGCTCACCAAATAGTCTGGCTCCTCAACCTTCACAATGAGGCTTGGCAACGGATGGGTCGGCAACAGCCTCCTCCGAGCGTTCATCAATGCTTGGAGTGGGCCGTTAGGGACGTCGTCGCTCATCTGCAGCATGAGCTTAGCCAAGTTGGGGAGGATGGATGCGGCCAGGCTAAGTTCTTCCAACACCGAGGAGAGGATGCGAGTCAAGATCACCTCAAGCGTGAGGTAGCGCACTTCCGAGCATTCAAGGATCTGATCAACGACTAGTCAGGACAACAGGCGATAAGAACAGCGTTGATTCTGCTTTAAACATACGAAGTTAGAGTAGGATCTAGCGGTGATCGACTGTTCCGCTTGGCTAATCGGGCCTCCCCAGTCGAATCCCAGATGTAATCGTCTCAAGCATGGAGCAGCGAATGAGGGAAGGAAATTCATAATGTGGTGTTGACCTGAAAGATAGGTAAACTCCCGGAGGTTTGGCAGGGTGAGCCGATCCGTGCGCCCGGTTGGCCAAACATCCACACCATTAAGAATAAGTACCTCAAGAGCCTCCATTTCCCTGAGGGAAGCCAGGAAGACATTGCATGCTACCCCCATCTGATCTAGGTACAAGAAGTGAAGACGAGGTAGCTTGGGCATAGCAGGTTGAGGTTCAAACATCGTGGTAACAAAGAGCACCTCGAGATTGGCATCCTGGAGGTCGTGAGGGGGGACGTTGGGAGAATGAAGCTCTGTAATACGTGACAAGATTCCGGCCATATCTGGGTGATTCCAAGCACTGAGCCAAGTATTGTCCCCGGTCGTGGAAGAGTGCAGTCGGATCGTGGATACGTTCGACTCCGCAAGCTGAGCTAGGAGCTCTCGATCAGCGAGAAGTTGTCCTACCCAGGGTATCTGACAGTTGAGGAGAACTGGTCTCTCCTTGCCACGTCGACGCAGCCACGCAAGCACTTGATCTCGTGGCCAGCTACCACAGACTTCGCCCCAGAGGGAGGTATCCGAAAGCGCGACGTCCCGCCACCACGAGGATACATGGCTGATCCTTACGGCAGTTCTGGACTTGGAGGTGAGTGGCTGATGCCTCCCGCCTGTGGCGTTCTCGAAAATCAGTCTTAGGATGTCAAGGGGAAGACCATAAACAGGATAAATGACTTTCTTCAGTCGTGACAGCTGCAGGACCACGTCATGTTGGGTGGACGACAGGAGACCTTCAAAAAATTGTAAGCGACCCTGTCGAACGCTCGCGTCGCCACGCTGAAAGGCTAAGAGGTGGAGTTCACGGCAAATTTGAGGTTGGAATGTGGTAGGGAGGGATAAGGAGTCGATGGTAATCTTCAAGACCTGCGCGTCGAGTGAAGAGGAGGCGTTCCGCAAGTAGATGAAGAGGGCTTCCAAGTCCATGAAGGTCATACGATGCTAACGTAGCAGGAAGGGAAAGGACGCCCCCGTCTTCGCGAAAAGGTAGATTCTAGCTTTATGTACAGGAGTATCAGCACCGGCTCAATATCCAACGTGATGGAAGTGGCAGCTGCCCTGAATTGTAAAATTGAACCCGGACGAGCGTGCTACGGAACCGATTGGCCAAAAACTAGCCTCCCCCTTCTAAGGCGCATTCTCTTCTATTGTCTTTGCGGTACACTGTTGTACCGGGAGACGCATGATAAATAAGAAGTACCACCAAGAGCTCCATCACAAACTGTTGACTAATTTTACTCAAAATCTTGGGGACACTTTCAACCACGCCAAACTGCCACCATCTCTTCCAGGAACACGTTGAAATCTATCTAGGGAAACTCCAGACCTGCCCAAAGACCTCACTCGCCCCCCAAAGCGTTTCGGTCGCCCGTCAACCTGGACAGCCACACGAGGCCGAACCCTGACTTCCCATCCAGAATCTTGCTTGCCAACGGTTGTGCAGTTGCAAATTCATTGCTTCCAAATACTCCGGCACTTCGACGGGTGCTTTGGGGAAGATATCTTCGGGATAGCGCCGAGGATTAGCTCCCAACAAATGATGATCACTCCAGGAAATCCGCTTTGTGAGATGGCGAACAGGGCTGAACTGGTAGCTGAGTGATAGACTTGATACGCCCCCCTTGTGGTTTTCACCTGCTTTAACGATTGAAATAGTCTGTCATATCTTGGGAGTTGGCTGGGTGACGGCCGGGTTAGCAGGACTACACCAACACTGACACCGAACGGCGGACCTTGACAAACTTTGGACGCAATAACGAGGGTCGGATAATGAGTCTACGGGATACATGTGCCGGTTCATCACAGATTCATCTCGAAATTGACGGTTCGAAACCAGTCGGCGTGTGACTCGCGCACTATTCCGGGTTTGAAATCGGCCGTCGGTGGATTGCCGAGAATGGACGCTCATCAGTGTTTCCCCTGTAATTTAATTGACAGTCCCCGCCCTTTTTCAACTCTTAATTTCGTGGCCCTTCTAGCCTGCCTGCACCGTGGGAAGAGTGACTTAGGTTTCGCCCTTGACAAAGCTAGAACGTGGATCAGGAACTGGAGGATACCCAGGAACCCCTTGCTGCGCCACTTTGACCCTGCTCATGCCTCAAGTCACCAGTATTCATAGGAATGTCGCCTGGGAATGGGTTGCTATTTGGCGAGTCGCGCATTCGATCGCTTCTCGGCCTAGCTCACCGCCAGCCTTTGACCTCCATATCACGGCTCCACGGGTGGTCGCATGGTATGTGATTGTTGAAGATTATAATTCGGTTCTCAACACGAACCAGAATGCAACTGATGATGGGCACCGGGAAGGGGTGTGGCCTTGTCAATCAAAGACGTTGAACTTCTGCACAAATAATATCCTCATCGCGGATCCGTTTCGCCATCAAGTCGATGATGCACAAATGTAGGCATGGATTTTCCTCTCAATTTTCCAGAAGATCAGCGGGTAGGGAGTTTTGATGTGGTAGATCGTATTACTATTACCAATCACTGCGAGATCGCACGTCGCGAATAACCACTTATGGAAAAGCCCGTGATGTGTGAGAAGGACAAGGAGGCAGGATCGAGATAGAGAGTTATTGTCCAAAGTCAGGAGTCTGTGTGTGGCAACCTTGGATTGATGGTAGGAACATTTGAACGATTCACCCACCGAACAGTGAGCGAAAAACAGTTTTCTACCCTGACAACCCACCCTGGGTGGCGTGGGAGGACACCATTTTTAGCACCCATAACCCGAGTGCATACGAGGACGTACGTGAAATGAGCAGCAATATGAACATTGACCGTCTCCTACGCCATGTCCATTGGTTCTTTTACGTCCACTCAATGTGTTATGAGCGCACGCCATTAAACGCATCTTTGCATTTGAAAAAAACCCCTAGGCAACTTTTCTCGCTCGGACACGGGTACCCTTAATGATGATTCGCTCTCAGGGCTTCCGGTTGGCAATGGAAAGGGCCATTTCAACATTTCAATCGCGGCGGATCGCGAGCAAAATCGTTGTGCTGAGACAGAAGCTAGAACTATGTTGTGGCAGGAGAAAGGGCGTTAATACCGATCTGGAGCAGCTTGGTAGAGGACCTTCTAGTTCAAGATCGCCCAATATGGTCGTCCTCTAGGGTTCGCGAGCAGGCCGCAGTTAAAAGAAAAGAACTGGGACTTAAGGCCTCAAACCGTTTCCTCAGGAAGAGCCGTCGTTGTTGGGAGGGAGTAGGTGGATGGGATCTATAATTTTGAAGCCATATTGGCAGTTCGTTCACTGCAAAGCTGGAAGCCAACCAATACGTCTAGGCACTTCCACGAAATGCCAGGATGATGGCACAAAATACCTTCATTCTAATTTCCGTGGGCTTATTGTCGGAAAATAACCGCATCTATTTTAGGCGGGAAACACTCAGAAAGCTGTTCATCGTCCCGAAGAAACCAGGGCCAGAACGACTACATGAAGCCACCACCGAATGGCCCAGGCTTGGTGCGATAACGGATCCGAGTTGGAACTTTCCGACGGGGAATAACCGAAGTAGATATCACTAAATCAGCTAATTGGAAGTAGTCCAGGAACTGCTGCAACACAGTTTCCGCCTGGTTGCAGACGAAGGTCTATATATCGTAGACTGAAAGCCTGAAAGGTGGATCCGAGAATTGGAATCTAGCTCTCAGGTGCAAATGGAGTATGTCGATTTCTCCTAATGTGGCACTGTCAGCCTCTCTTTAGCGGGAAGATGGCGATCCCCTTATCGACCCCGGACTAAACAAGAACAAACAATGATCACTGCGCCAGGCAACCATATGTCTTGGGATTTAATGGAGGAACGAGATTAACCGGGTCGCTTCATATTGAGAGGCATCGACTTTCGTCGGGGTCGTTTCCACGCCATCGTATGCACATTTGACAGCTTTCTGGGCTCAAACTCTTGAGAGATCTCAGCTACATAGGCCCCCCTCCCCCCCCCCGGCTCAAATTCAGTACTGGATGCCATTCCCTACCCTCAAACTCAGCCAACCTCTGCACTCTGGGCCATCATGACGTTTCTTTCGGAGAAAGCCATTATTTGGGGGTAGCATTTGGGGGGCTAGCCCAACTCATGCGTTTGTGCTCGATAACAAATCGGTTGCCGCCCATCAGTTTGGAAATGTATTATTACCTTCAATTCGATCCATTGTCTTGCAGGCTTGTATGAATCGAAATCACATTTGACGTCCGAAATTCTGGTTTTGAGTGTAAAAATCCTGTTTCATTGGTGCTTTGAAAGCTGTGGCGATAGACGGTGAAATGACATATATCATCAACTCCTCTTTGCAATAATCCTCCAAGTGGGGCAGTATTTTTCCTGAAATCCCGCTGGGTTACGTGATAAATGATGGAATTACTTTTTCTCAGTGGGTACAATATTTCTACAGTGACGCAAGCTGGAACATTTTCAAAAGCAAGACGATTAATCAAAAAAAATACAATTCTTGGGCCTCAAAAGTAGAATCACCGATTCTGGCTGGCGGTTGGCATCGGCACGGCCGGTTCCTATACCCGGTTCGGGAGAGCTCCAACAACGGGCGGTGTCCAATGAGCATCTCCGATACGATCGGCCGTGATGCCGGCACTTCCAGGATGTTTGAAACCTCTTTCAAGCTGTTTGTGGTAAGACACGATCCGGAGGCGCTCCGATTCGGCGGCTGTGAGGTGAATATACACTTCCGCCCTAACAGAAATGAAACCGGCCGCAATGAGGTTTTCGGTTAATTTGAGCCTTCCCGAAAAGGCGTATAATGGACTTACAAGACCATATGAATGAAGAGGGCTAACCAGTTGCAAAGTGTATAGGACAATCGAAGCGTAGCGACATAACCGAGGATACCGCCCGTTCTGGAATTTGCAGGAACAGCGACGAAAAATGTTTTGAGATCGGGCGCGGTGAGGCAAGCTGGGAAGAGTTCGCCGAGTAGGGTTGAGTTTCCTCCAGCATCAAATAGGACGTTATCACACGAGTACGTCTGGAAAAAGAAAAGAAAAGAAAGAATGCAAAGAGTGTGTAAGAGTGTGCGGAAGTCTCCCAAACACGTCGGGCTCACAATTGAGTAGGTCCCCACTTTATCGATGTATTTGGGTGCCACTTGGAATATCAATCGCGTTGAAACGATAGCTCCCATAGTACACCAAGCCCTTCCGTTTCAAAGCTATAAGAGAAACAGAATAGGTATAGAGAAAAAAAATTCTCTCAACACACCTTAACATCCATTTTCTGTGTTCGTCGATTTGAAGTCTTTTGATGTTAATCCAGGCCATCAGAAGTTCAAACAGAGGAGTCGCTCCGAGTATAATGGTATGCATATCACCAGCCGGATCTCCGCTGAGAACACGTCGGGCAAGCGTGAACCCCCCAGCGCAGGCGAGAACGATCATGAAAATGCAGTAATAACCGATGATTCGATGAATCATGATGTTCTTGTAGCGGATGGCTGGGACGAACTGCAACGGTACTGAGTTGGAGTTCAGTAAGGGATCCACCGAGGGTAATTAAAACGTCCGGATACCTAGAACACCACCCGGTAGTGCAGTAGCAAGATGAAAATAGAGCCCAAAGCGGTATGGTTGTTGATGGAACCTGCGATGGCGCAAACGCAGAAATCAACGCAGGGATGGCGGCGCGAACGACGAAACGGAAGCTCACCAATACCAGTTTTGTAAGCCAATATGATCGAGCATGAATGTCTTGTTGTAGTAAGGCATCCTGAGGCGCACACGATAAGGATCAATCAGGACGAATTGGAAGCAGCTGTTCAACCTTGAAATGCAGAAAGCCGTCATGGCACCGCCAAAGATGATCCAGAGAGGGATATTGTACGCCTTGTGGAAGCCAAGGAACCTTTGCATCGCCTTCAGGGCATTATACGCTGGGGTCAAGAAGGCTGGGAGATTGGGAGGTGGTCCATTGACCACGTCAACACCCTTTTCTTCGACGTCATCATAGCTTGAGGTGATAGAACTCCCAGAGGAAACACGATCCTCATCCGCTGTGCGGAGATCCCTGAGGATGTTGTTTAACAGCAAAGATCACGGAGGGGATGACTGAAACGGACTTAGTTACGTCGTACCCGAGAGCGTTGACAGCCATGAGGGGGGGCGGTGGGAAGTCGTTTATGCCTTCGAGAGACATCAGGTAGGGTAGTTTATATGCTTGCTCCAAGCGAATTTAGACGCTCCATTAGTTGATCAGGTAAAGAACGCGAAGTACCAGATTGCTGTGATGATTGATGGAGAGGATAGACTTGGATGAGAAACGGCTCTGCCGCAGGATTACAGTGAATTCACAAGAAGCACTATTCAACGATACGGTGTCCCCTTGCGACAACATTCAGCCGCCACCCGAATCGCAAATCGTGCCCGTAATGAAAATCTCTTGGTCAATCTTAGCACCAGCGACGAATCGGGAGAGCAGGTCCTCTACGCTGAACCACGATACTGGCCATATTCTAGGCGTCCCCAAAGTTTTCGCTGAGTAATTACGAACAAGCCACCTTGCATCCATAGACATTAATATTACGAAGTCATAGAGGCTGGAGTCAGTCGTTTGAGATACAATTCACCTGCTGTATTGTCGGAGCAGCAAAGGCAACCGCGCTGCTCGATTGATCACGAAGAATAAGTGGACGGATCTCAGATCTCGTAAAGACTGAGAAGCTAGCCAGTGATCCATGCAATGAATTTGTGAACTTATATATAATGCATTGCGTGGCCGTGACTGTCCAAGGCGATGCAGGCCAAAGTTGTACATAAGGGGCTGTGCTTGTGCCAGTTTGGCCTTGACCGACCCTTTCCGAAAGATGTGCGGACCAGCCTTTGCCTGTTACTGATTCACTTCCGCCATTGATCTCAGCCGTTTCATATGTCCTCTGGCTATTGGGCACTAGGTCCGGGCGCTAGCTTCGGGACCCCCTGATACCGGATATTCTCAGCCCGCCCACGGATTCTTGACCAGCGACCACTGGGGGCGCTGCTCCTCGATACTATTATTAACCCACACAGGGGCTTGAAACTTTGCGGACCGGTGACCCAACACGTCGAACGGGCATATGAAAGACTTCCTGTACTATATCAGTATAAAGACCGTCTTGTGCACATGTAAGGTCCTGGGGCGACAACCAAAACGCGCGGTCACATCCGATGATCGCGTGTCTTCATCTGCGGCTAGCTGAGCGCTATCGAGATCACGCTATGCAGAAGGCGTGCCTAAGAGATTACCTTAACGATACCAACGACACATATGGCAGTGTAACCTTAACACAACTCCTAGATCCCCCCTAGGGCTGACGGTCGGACCTCCTTCCAATGATGTGGAAGCCCTGACTGCCGCCACCACGGCTCACTTGCTTTTTTTTCCGAAAGCCAGGCGCGCAGCGTTCTCTATCGTTTCGACTAAATTTTTTTTTGGCTGTGGGCGCCTACTGGCCGTAGTTCGAAATATTCGCATTCGAACGCAAATTATGTAGTCCCGACCTTTATCTGAGTCTTTGTCTCCTAATTTGCATGGCTGTTCAACATTATCATTATCTCTATGGATTCCTCAAATCCTACCGGCCGTTGATCTGGATCATGAACATCATATCTTCCGGTCCTCGTCTTTATTTTGTCTCACTCACTTTCATACTATGCGATCTTACAAACTGTTACCGTAGAAACGATAGCAATGAGGAGGAAGTATGTACTGGGGTACCATGGTAAAGTAAGTACATAATGTATAACGAGCGTCTCTCTTTTTTCCGCATTCTTTGCTGTGGGCCGCCGGCCGGGCGGATGACGCAATTCGCTTCGGACGCAAAATCGGACCCGCTATCTCCACGGATTCGTTCTCGATCCTACCTTCCGCCCATATAGTATGTTGATCGTATTGCATGTCTTCGTGTTTTTTTTTTTGTCTTTATTCATTCCGATCCCAACCACTCTCACTCAACATCAATCACCTCACATTAATACGGCATTCATTTCTGTAGAACTACATCACCGTAGAAAGGATACTAATATTGACGAGAAGTTACGTGAACGCAAGTACAGTACGCAAAATGAAGTTCCTCTGACACTAGGTCATACGTAAGTCTCTGGCACACTAGTACGGTTGGTTCTTTTTTTTCCGCGTGTGCAGAGTATTTTGGGCCCAAAAAAAAATTAACATTCCTCAGAGCGAATTCTAATCCTGCGTACGACAATTGAAGATTTCGCATCATTTACTCTTCTCTGAGGAATCAATATTGTACTTGTGCTATAGCTATCGTGACGCAACGGGGGAAACAAAAGAAAAAGAAAAACTAGCTAGCCAAAAAAAATTCAAGACATAGAAAATCCCTCGAACTCAGTTCACCAATCGCGATTACCAGGGCTAGCTAGCATTAGCATGGATACGCCTCGCTCGCTCGCTCGCTGTTCTAAACGCGGTTCGTGAAAACCCTAGTACCAGCAGCGGGCACCGGTGGTGTCCAGTGATCGTCTCCGATACGATCAGCGGTGATACCAGCGCTTCCAGGACGCTTGAAACCCCTTTCGAGTTGCTTTTGGTACGAAACGATCCGAAGGCGCTCCGATTCGGCAGCGGTGAGGTGAATATACACTTCCACTCTGTTTTTTAGAAACGGCGGGGCCGGGGACCGGACGGGCGCGAGGAGAAATGAGTTTCGGTTGCCTGATGCTGAGAATATGCATATCAACTCACCCTACCATATGAATGAAGAGTGATAACCAGGCAGAGAGAGTATAGCTCAGTCGAAGGGTAGCGACGTAACCAAGTACACCACCCGCTCTGTAACTTGCAGGCACGGCAACGAAAAACGTTTTGAGATTCGGTGCGGTGAGACAAGCTGGGAACAGTTGGCCGAGTAGGGTTGAATTTCCTCCAATGTCGAACAGAACGTTGTCACACGAGTACGTCTGGAAGGATCGAACGAGAAAGTTAAGCGTTTTTTTTTTACCAAGTTTGCGTAGGGAGCTCACGATTGAATAGGTTCCCACTCTATCGACGTATTTGGGCGTCGCGAGCCAAATAAGTCGTAAAGTAATTGTGGATCCTAGAACAAACCAGGCTCTGAGGTGGGGGTTGGGGGTTGGGGGTTGATACAACACGCAAGTTAGAAAAAAAAAAGGGGGGTTGCCTTGAAGAGCACACATACCTCAACATCCATTTTCGATGTTCATCGATCTGAAGTCTCTTGATGTTGATCCATGCCATCAAAAAGCTAAACAGGACAGTTCCCCCAAACATAAGAATGTGCATATCACCAGCTGGATCTCCACTAAGAACACGGCGGGCAAGCATGAAACCCCCAACGCAACCGATTGTGATCATCAAAATGCAGTAATAGCCGATGATACGATGAATCAGAATGTTCTTGTAGCGGATAGCAGGAACGAACTGCAATGGTGCTACATGGGGATAATAAGAAGCTCGGTAAGGGGGGGTTATTCAAGAAGTGAAGAAATAGGCTAGATACCAAGAACACCACCGGGGAGTGCAGCAGCAATGTGGAGATAAAGCCCAAAGCGATACGGTTGCTGACGGTACCTACGAGCGATTTCAAAAACCACGAAAATCAATGCAAAGACATGGACAATCGGGGCAGAAAAAAAACCTCACCAGTACCAGTTTTGCAAGCCGATATGATTGATTAAGAACGTCTTGTTGTAGTATGGCATCCTGAAGCGCATGACGAACGGGTAAGAAACGACGATCAGCAAGACAAGGTTGGATCCAATGGAAAAGTGAGCTATTAACCTCGAAATGCAGAAGCCTGTCATGGCACCGCCAAAGATGATCCAGAGAGGGATGTTGTACATCTTGTGGAATCCAAGGAACCTTTGCGTCGCCTTCAAGGCGTGGTACACCGGAGTCAAGAAGGCAGGGAGACTCGAAGGTGGTTCGCTGGCCACATCGACACGCTTTTCTTCGACATCAGATCTCGAGCTGATGAAATCTCCAGAGGATGTCCCATCCTCATCCACCGTACGGAGATTTCTAACGGCCGGTTGTTTAATCATTCAGCAGTGAGGCTTTACTAAGGAGGAGGGGGGAAACTGGAACGAACCTTTCCACGCCGTAGCCACGAACGTTAGCAGCCATAGGAAGTCACAGAGAGTGGTATGGGGAGGGGAGGAGGATGTTGATGGGTTTATCCCTTGGAGAGGTAGTGGGCAGCCCAATATATATGTAGAGATTTGAAGGAGCAGCAGGAACAAAAACAAACGTCACTGCACAGCGTTGACTGATGGCAGACAAAAAATCCGATAAAAAAGGTCCCATTCCACAGAATTACTGTTACTAGGCGCCAAGGAACACATAATTGATGATGCTGTTCCTCGCCTTGATTAAAATCGTTGGCACCGATATCATGTTTCTACTGATAAACATGATCGATAAGGGAAAGAAGTCCCAGATACGTAACTACAGGATCCGAGGCCTGGTTAGGGAAGTCTCGATCTCTTGGACAAGTTTGAGCATCAGCGCATATACTTGGTACCCTGAACCCGGAGCATGACAACAGAGACTAAGAGGCAGTGCTCAACGCGCCAAAAAAAAGTGCATGTCTGCAAATCTTTGTTCCGCCTGCAGCCCTCGCTTCAACAATATCGGCTCCCTTCTCCGAGAGGGTCGGCTATGAGCAAATCCTAGTTGAGATCAGGAAAGCAGAAGACAGAAGATACTGCAGATAACTATTAACATTTTTGACCGCCAGACCATGATGATGCCGAGCAAGGGGGTCGGGTCGACTGGGCAGTAATACGCCGACGCACATTCATTTCAGAGACTTCCCCCCGCAGAGATAACCCCCTTACGATTGAATGGGAAAAAATAGTGCTGTGCTTATGGAGAAGTCGTGTTGGGGCATCGCCATCATGGATCTCAGGAACACACACTATGTTGGCCACTGCGGCCCCGGAGAATCGATCCAATTCGATAACAGCGAGCTCCGAGGCGCTCGCGGATCTTGAGTGTATGCCGTTGGCATCAGTCAAATTTGGAATGACGATATAGCGGGTGGGGAAAATGAACTCGGTCTCCTTCCCAACGCGCCATACGGGGAGACACGCGCGTTTCGGAGGACGAGATAGAAAGGCGAAGTGGCCCCCACAAGGCTCAGCGATCCCTTAGAACAGCCCGCATATGAAGGTTTGACCTGAACGCAATAAAAAGTTGCAAGAACACAGCCACGTCTTAGACTTTACATAATATCAAAGACCATCCAAGGAAGGAGGTCTGTTCACTTTGGCGATCAAAAGGGGTAGGGCTTTTCATTTTAGGCGGCGGGGGAGTACTTCATTTGGTCAATGCCTATGCTAGGTATATTGACGGCGGCCACTCTCTCTGCGAACACGTTGAGAAACTTGAAGGGTGTCGCTGATCCATTCCACCTAGCTAGCTTGCTTACTCCCCAGAACCTAACAAACACTCCATCTTGGTGTTGGATCTCAACACTAAGGAGCGTTCAGCGAACGAGCCTGCCAAGAATCCAAAGTTGATCAACGCGGATGAGCATAGCGCCATGCGGTGTAGGTACAAGAGCATCAAGAAGTTAGGTGACATGATTGAAAGAGGAATAAAAAGATGCGCGATAAAGCACACCATACCCGTCCGATGTCAGCATCAAACAAAGAGGTGACTCCGAACGAGCAGGCCATTTGAGGCTTCACGACAAAAAAAGATACATAGATAATACGTACTGGGACATGAGGGGAATAAGTGTTATGCTGGAAATGATGGAAAACGACCGACTGACACTGAGTCTTAACATTGAAAACCGGTGCCTCTGCAGCGACTGCAGCCTGGCAAGCAGATATGATCAGCACCACTAACGCGAGTACTAGGCGTAGGCGTAGGCGTCGGCGTAGACGATCTCGAGACAGGCGCTTGGGCAACCTTATTCGTTCCACCGATTTTGCCCTCCTGCACCAGTCGCGCTCGGAGACGTTCACGCATTACGTCTGGGTTCACAGCAGCACGCTTGCCTTGAACGGCTTCGACTTGCGCCGCAAGCGAGGGGGCTGGGGCAGGTTGCTGTGATCGACTGGGGGACCAAGGCATAAAACTTGCGAATGAGCCCAGTGAGAGGCGCATGCGGAATGGAGATGCGGAAGTTGTCGGAAACTCGACATTATTCTTGTTTGATGGCGCAGCAGACGACTGTGCGTGCCCATGCGGAGGAGAATTGAAGAATGAGAACTCCTCATCAAGATCTGATACAGTTGTAGCAGGTACTACGGGTGATCGACGAGAAACTTCAGTCACCCGTGGTGGGGGAGTAAAAATATGGGTGATGGGTTGGGCAGTGGGCCGTAAGGAAATTGCAGGTTTCGTCGGAGTGATGGGAGCTTGAACTTTAGGTGGGGATGGCTTATGAACCAGAGGAGCAACGAGAGTACCGATCTGCTTGGAATAAGCTTTCGGGGGTGGTACAAGGTCGCCATGTATGTGAGGGAGGTGTTTGGTTGGGATGGCCGCTGGAGTGGCAGTTGACGCAAGCATGTTCGACTGATCACGACCGGATAACCCAAAAGGTCGGGGCGAGAGCTTGGGGGATTCGACCGCCGGGGCGGTGTTCGGCGATGCACCTGAAGCAGGCTCGGCTGCGACCCCAAAGCTAAAGCTTTCATCCTCTTGGAAGTTCATCGCAAATGTTTCCGCAAGAGCGGGAGATATCTTCTTTGCCTGTGTCTTGGGGTGCATTGGTGTACCAAGCATCTCAGGAGGGGTGGACAATGGCGTCGATTGTGGACTGTCTTCATCCGCATCTAGATCCAAATTGAACGGATCATTGCTTGATTGCTTCTTAGCGGTGACGCTAGCGGGACCACGGGGGAACTTCCAGGATGTAACAAGGGAAGCCTTTTTGGCATGGGTCGGCACTTCTTTGTGCTGAATTGTATCCTGGTCAGCCCGAACAGAAGGAGTCGATGAAGAGTCGTCATTATGTTTGCCATCATCCGTGAGGTCGTCGTCCTCGTCAATATACTGATCATCATAGTTCATGCACTCCGTTGGTTCAGCCTCGTATGAAGCGAGCTCCTCGTTACCATATTCCTCATCCTCATGATTAATTTCGTCCACTTCAGCCACGGAAGCCAAGTCTGGATTTGCATCCTTCAATTTTGGAGCACTGATTCTGAAACTGTCAAAGCTCGTGTCAGATTCGTCTACGAAAGTCGTCGCTGACGATGATCTTGAATCAACGCCAGACATGAACCGCCTGGTTGAATTCTGAGCATCGCGAAGCTCGCGCTCAAGTCGCTCGTTAAGTGTCTGTAACGTTTTCAGCTCTGAGTTGCGTATCTGGTTTTCCTTGATGAAGGAACTCCGCTCCTTCGCCCATCCAGCCTTTTGGGATTCAAGAGCCGATTTCTCCGCACTGATTTTGTCTAGCTCTACTTGAAGTAACTCTGCCCGGTCTTTATGGAGCCAAGCTTCCTGGCGAGCCGTCTCCAGTCGCTTCTTGCAGACTTCGCCCGCTCGTTCTAATTCCGTGTGCCTGCGCAGTGCTTCCGCAACATTGCCATGCAGCTGGTCACGCTCCGCCTTGAGATCCGCGACAAGCGCAATAAGTTCATCGGCCGAACTTGACTTCTGCTTCTCTGCAGCAAGAGCATCCTCGAGCGTTGAGATGCGCTCGAGGAGAGATGCATGATTCTGGATTGTGTAAGCGTGATGAGCGAACAGTTCGGTGGGTGACATCGGCCTGTCCCCAGATGTTGCGCTGGAGACAGATGACTGTGGAGTACGAGATGGAGTTAGGGGTCCATTGCTCAGCTCGCTCAACACATCAGAGCCAGTTGGCGACCGTTTAGACGCAAGTTGAGATTGACGACGAGCAGCAAGGGATGAGCTGGAAACAGCCGCTGACAATGGCGTGATTGGCTCAGGAGACAAGCTAGAAGAGGGGCGATGCAGGGGCGACGGAGAGTTATAAATAGAAGGCGAGGCTTGCAGGGTAAGTTGGCGTATCCTAGCACTGCCCCGAGGGCTCGGAGTGGAATTAGGGGTGGGTAAGTCACCCACTAGGGACAGAGTTCGTAAGGAGAGAGATGGTGGTCGAGGCTTGTTCGGGCTCGGCTCAATAACACGAGTAGAAGGGATGCACGAGGTCTTAGACACGTTTTCATCTTCCTCTTCATCTTCTTCAACGAGGGTGTGCAGTTCAGCCTTGGAAGTGGAAGAATTCACGAGGTTGCGGCCAAAACTATCGCGCTTGCCGAGCAAGGAGCTGATGCCCAGCGGTGGAACTTTCACTGAAATAATCAACTGGTCAGACACAGGAAACGATGTGCAACAGATGGCAGGTCACTCACCGGTTTCCTTTTCGAAAGCCTTATTGTCAGAAGTTGGGCTGATCCAATCAGGAATCTCAACCTTTGCGAAACCCGCTACAACACTTCTGCCCTCAAGTGCAAGTAGAGCACGTTTTCGGATTTCATCTCGGGAGTCTTCTTCACTCTCTTCTGGGCAGGGGACACCCATAATCTCGCTGGATTCACGGCGGGTCGACACAGACGATTTACGCTTGTGATGGGAATGCGGTCTGCTTTTGGGAGGGAGAGGCAATTCGGGGGACGAAGCAACGGAGCTAGCTGAAGATACTCTTGTGGAAGATGTTGAAGAAGTCGAGTTCGTGGATTTCATGCTCGAATTCGAATGGCTTGGGGTGATCGAGGGGAACGAAAAACTGGGTGACATTGGGGAAGAGGCAGGGGATTGTGCCTTCTTTGGTCGTAGCCGGAAAGCACTGAGCTGGGGAGGATAAGATTAGTTGCAGCATGGCCCACGTCACAGGTGTCTCACCTGTGCCTTCACGTCTTGAGTGTCCGCCATAAGAGAAAAAGTGAAGTGTTTGTGTGAGAAGTGAAAGGACTAAGAAGCGAAAGTAAACAAGTGGGTTCGAAAGAGTGTAAGCTGCCAAGCGTTGGCAGCGACGTCAGCAAACTGGCGGGTGTAACGAAAGGGGCAAGGACAAACGAACACGGTGAATTCCGTCGGTTATTTCCGGACATTTGCTCGCCGTCGGACGCCGAATAGAGGCTGTTACAAGCAAGTGGGAATTTATGTCTTCACCGTCCGGTCGAATTCTCATAGGCAAGAGGGCTATTTTTATAAACGGTAGACAGACGTCCTAAGGGTCCGTATAACCAGTTGGTTCTGGCGCTGTTGGATGCTTCTACGCCTCCAGACTTCATAACTTGTCAGATGGCGTCCTTGTGTCTCTTATCTGCCGATCCAATTATCAGGCTGTCAAGGAGCATGGGGTCAGACTCCGCACGCGCTCCTATGGCGATTATGTTTTCACCCCAGAAAATGTATTCAAATCTGTGGAAGATGCCCGCAATCTGTTGTGGGATTATATCGTGGTCGCTACCAAGGCCTTACCAGACGTCTCTGATGACTCGGAACTTTTGTCATCTATCGTTACTCAAGACAAGACTACTATAGTTCTCATCCAGAATGGCATTGGTGTTGAACAGCCATATCGTGTCCGTTTCCCGAATACACCTATCCTCAGTGCTGTTACTGTCATATCCGCTGAGCAAACCGAGCCTGGAGTAGTTGTACAAAATCGTTGGACACGCATTAGCATAGGGCCGTTTACCGATGGGAATGGTCGCGATAATGCCTCCCTGGCAGAGCCATTCGCGTCCCTGCTGCGGAAAGGTGGCATCAAAGATGCAGAAGTCTACGATGAGCAAGGTTTGCAGATTGTGCGCTGGCACAAAATAGCCGTATGTTTGTTCCAGATTTTTTGGTTACGCTCTCACACAATGCACCATGTCTTATAGATCAATGCCGCAATGAACCCTTCCTCTGTTCTCTCGGGTGGAACACCAAATGCTACGATGGTCAAAGATCCGGAACTTCGTTCTCACCTCACGAACTGCATTGAGGAGGTGTTTAGGGGCGCCTCTGCCGTCACTGGCATATCTTTCCCACCCCCAACGCTTGCAACTGCAGAGCAGATCATTCGAAGCACGGAAAGGAATGAAGGTGGGAGACCCAGCATGCTTCTTGACTGGGAAAGGGGTGGCGCAATGGAGTTGGAGGTTATTTTAGGGAACCCCATCCGCTTAGCCCTGGAGAAGGGCGTGGAGATGCCAAGGTTGCATGCAATGTATGCATTGCTCAAAACCGCACAATCAAGGAGAGATACGAAGGGATCAAAGTTGTAATTCAACCCTAGCCCCATTCGTGATTCATATTCGGCTTCCATGATAGATTCCTGATGTTTGGTCGTTCGACTGGTTTTATGAATGGGCTGAAGCCGTGAACGACCTTTGGTCTCCCGAAGTTTATCCATTGGTGTTTTTCACCTTCTAACACCTCGACAATACTTTCATCGGGTCGCGTGCATCTCTTGATCTCGTCATATCAGTGTAACGGTGGATCGAACCGAAAATAGTTTATCCAAATACTGGCAGCCCTTCCTTACATCCTCGTTGCATTCAGGGGTGGCACCTTACCCGCCGTGTCGCTGTTGAGTCTTGATCATACACGACATATTCGTCACCATCTTACCGAATCCGCAACTACGTATCGGACCTTTGGCGCGCGGCAATTCTCCTATTCTTACATAACACTAATCCGATAAAGCATTTGTGACACATCGCCAGGTCTCAACGAGTCAGCCAGCTTAGGGTCACGGTGACGTGCCTCCACTTTGTCTCAAATCGAGGTGATGAGAATGCCAACACGAGTCACGTCCGCATATCTTTATCGTATCAAAGCGGCTTCTTGCGTCACTTGCGCTATATTACCACTTTGCAACATAGCATAGCTTCTGATTCAGATAATCTGCAAAGGGAAAATGGAGTTCACTGCCTCATGAGTCCACCGAATGTCACCCGGGGAGTGCTTGCTCGTGATTGTGCACCGCCTTGGTGAACGGGCTATGTAAGTGTGATAGCCGCATCGAGCTCATATCTATTTTCCCGATCCCCTTACGAAGATCCGCCCTGCTTCCTGTCGCCTAGAGCTGCCTTTCCCATGGCACTAGTTTGAGATGGGAACATTGAAATCTGCCCTCCATCCACCCCTTTGTTCGGGGCCGATGAGCCGATTCAGGTCGCTTGAAAACAATGTTGTTCCCTATTCTCTTCCGCATGTTAGAGACCTAAGTTCCGAAGATAATATCGAACTTACCCGGTACATATTTGCACTCATGGTTGCAATCCCAAAAACATCCTGCATGGCGTGTTTATTCCAGAATTCACGATGGAGCAAATCAAGCGTCCATATTTATGGTATTTATTGGCCAAAACTTGTGATCTATTATAAATTGCCAATATTTCGGCCCAATTACATAGGCCTACGCGCGAGAATACACGCTTATGAGGCGACCAACGATAGTGTCATTGTTTATATCGTGCAAGCTCGCTGTTGCATGGAGATGATCAAGTGGTTCCTGTCGATCTCGGCGTCTGCGGCTTTTAGCTACTGAACGAAGTTCACCCAATGGAAGGGTGCCTCTTTTACGACTTCCACACTATGGTCCCCCCGCAACACCACGAGGGCCGCTCAGAGGTTTCGAAAGCCATATGATCTTCCCTCTTAGATAACATATATGTGGCGCCACGGTAAATTTCTACATTCCTAGGCACTGCACGGGCTTCGTTGCGCTGAAATCATTGATGGCTGGTAACATCGCGCGCTAGAATGCGAGATTACGCTTCCGCGCCGATTTCGCGAACGAGGTATCATTTCTCTTTACGCTGTTCAATATTAGGACCACCTCACTATTGGAGTAGAGATTCACGTACCACATTTGTCGCGCGCGGGCATCCCTTACTGGCGATTGTCCGTTGATTCCTCCCTTGGAAACCACAACGATGGACTCAGTCGTGGATGGCTTAAAAGCCACCTCGACCAACTTTTCCGTTCCTCCCTCATCATTGGAACTGAGGTGAGATAGCCTTTCTCTTTGAAGCGTGTGTTCATATAGAATTGGAACAGCTGAGCGCTTACACACATCTAATATACTTACGCTCTGGTTCCTCGTTTCGCCCTTCACGGTTGGCGTTGGCTTCCGGTTATTACTTGTTTCTTTCTGGTCTCACCTCCGATCAGTCGCCACACATGCAACGTCTGTGTCGTTCTCCCCTTGTTAGTGCAATCGCACAGAATCATTGACCTGTCTGTCGACTAGGCAGGATATCAGCCTCTTTAGATAGATCTGTCGACGGGAAATTCGCACGGTTGACATGTTAGTTTGGTATACATATGCTTGTTACCACATTAGGCAAATTGATCCCTCAAGTGTCGGCTCCCCAGTTTGAGAGGTTGAAACTCCTCTCATGAGGAGGCCCGGAGGTTGGGATAGTGTTCTTGGCTTGGTGGGCTCGATCGACTGGTTTGAAGTCTTCTTGCGTCAAGAGTCGGTTCTTTTCTTTGTCGCGTTCTTGGAATTTGAATTTACAAGGCTTGGTCACGCTAAGTGACAGCTGTGTTCAGGTGTTTGCAATTTCGCCGCACCGTTCGCAGAGCAAGTTGTGCAAGTTACAACAAGGCGTAGTCATCGTACGTACGTATTCTCCCTTACATGGCGCTGGACCCTGAGTTAAACTCTTGCTGTATTAGTGCATTCTTTTGAAACCCATTCATTTACATAAAGACAAAAATCCCTTCGCTCCTTCTTTCCTTCCTCTAGAACTCTGTGCGGGTGGTGTCATCCGTTGAAGGAGTAGTGTCTTTCTTCTCCTTCGGCCTTTGCGTTCGAACACTGTCACTGAGCTGACTTGTTGGCGAGTTGCGTTGGACTGCACAAGTAATTTCTATCCTGAGACTACCGCTTGGCAATGCGTTCTGGGGCATTGCTGTTGATTTGGTTGCACGGCATCTTTGTCAGTACCGTCCAGGCGATCAATTTGAGGTTCCCGTTTGGAGCGACGAAGGTTCGGGGAGTTAACTTAGGTGGGTGTTGCCTTCGGTTTGTACGCGTTTGGGGGCTTAATGCACGCATATCGTCTTTACTACGCGTCTCCTGTGGTTGGGGATGAAGGTGGATGGCTTGTTCTTGAGGTGAGTTGCATTCCTTTAGATCTAACCTGCATTGTAACTAACTGCTCATGCAATCATCCCCACGGGATTACTCCGCACCTTAATTCATTGCATCCCCACTTCGCACGATGTATAAAAAAGCCATTCGTTACTCCCTCTCTGTTCGATGCGACGGGAAACCCGGCGATCATCGACGAATGGACGTTCTCTGCTTATCAGTCTTACGCGACGGCGCAAAGTGCGTTGGTAAGACATTGGGAGACGTTCATTACGGAGGCGGATTTTGCTGCCATTGCTGGCGCCGGGTGAGTGGTTTTTGTACGGAGAATCCTATTGATATCCCCAGATTGATGAACACCTTGGGAAGTTTGAATCATGTCAGGATACCGGTGTGTATTGGCGCACGTTATGGGCGTGCCAAGCTGACGTTACGTGCAATGCTGAGATACCTTTTTAGATTGGATATTGGGCATTTGATATATCCAAGGGCGAACCGTATCATCAAGGACAAGTGAGTTGCAACTCGCCTCGTTCGGTTGCGTGAGTTCATCCTAAAATCATGGCTTCACGTAGTTCGGTTATTTGAAGAGAGCTGTGGGATGGGTACGTACTTTACGGACCTCTTGGGAAACGGAATAAGGATGAAGTTCAAATAGGCTGCGAATCATGGAGTCAAAGTGCTTATTGACCTCCACGGGGTTCCCGGCTCTCAGGTAAGTAGCATCGCTCGATCTCCATCTCAACATAAGGCGCAATTACCGTGTCTGCCTCTTAGAACGGCTGGAACCACAGCGGTCGACAGGGTCCAGCAAACTGGGCTTCAAACAGTACGAATCTCGCTCGGACGCGCGCCGTCCTTCGAACCCTCGCTGCGGAGTTCTCCCAATCTAAATACGCCAATGTCGTCACCTCTATCACTCCCTTGAACGAACCTGCTCCATTCCAGAATGGGAACATTTTGCCTGCTGCGAGGCAGTATTACCTCGATGCATATGGGATCATAAGAAATCCTGGCGGTGGGGTAAAAGGGAATCTGTACATCACGTATCATGATGCGTTTCTGGGTGATTGGGGGTATTGGACTTTCCTCAGTAACAAGAGCAAGTTCCAAGGGATTTCGTTGGACACGCACATTTATGATATTTTCTCGAGTGGGGGGGTTAAGCTGTCGTATGCGCAGCATATTTCGGTGGGTGGTTTTTTTTTTTTTTTTTGTAAATTTGGCTTTTGGGTTCATTGTCGGATAGGGTATGTGTGCTAGGGGGAGACAGATCAGACAATGGGCTTCGAGGAATATTGGGGTCATGGTTGGTGAATGGACTTTTGCGCCGACTGACTGTGCGAAGTACGTGTCTTCATATTGCTTTCCGTCGGTACTGAAGATGTTGTGAATGCTTCAGATATCTCAATGGAAGAAATAACGGAGGTAAGGCCGTTGCACATCAGTCTTCAGTCTTCTGATCGGGGTTCTGAGCATGTGTGGATTCTAATTTCTGGTTGCTAGCTCGGTATGATGGGTCGCTTCCTGGATCTACGTATGTGGGAAGTTGTACGGGGAAGTCAGGTAGCGGAGCATCGTTCTCCGCTAGCTATAAGGTAAGCAGACAGCGGGCTTCTTGATTATCATCATGCAATGTGGGTTGACGTGTATATTTTTTTTTCCCTTCCTACCAATAGACTTTCCTACGAAAGTACTACGAGGCTCAAACTCAGGCTTGGGAGCAGAGTGTTGGATGGATCCATTGGACCTGGAAGGTAAGTAAAGTTTGCATCTGCACATCATCTTCGTTTTCGCACCATCTTTTAATGACACTAGTTACTGACCGTTATTTCATCGCAGACTGAGGTTGCGGCGGACTGGTCTTATCAGGCCGGACTGGCTCAAGGATGGATTCCACAAAATCCTGCTAGTAGGAAGTATGATAATATTTGCGGGTACTAGTTATTGTCCGCCGACTTGTCATTTTTCATCTCCATTTTTTCCGTAAGTAATTTGGTGTTAAGAGCACACACGTAGCGTAGGCTGTGTACGCACGACCCTCTGTTCTTTACCCAACTAGCCACTGGGAGACCTTTTTATTTTTGGCTGGAAATCCCGGACCCATGGCAGTACAGATACATATTGACTGTATGAGGATTTGTTTGTGGAGGGACGCACCTCCTGGTTATTTATTTTATTTTATTGCATTCATCGTTAATTGTTGGTAACTGTGTTTGCGCTGTGATCTTGACGCCACTACGGTAGCTCCTTTATTTGTTGCCATGGACTTTGAACAATTCAGTGACCGTTCTTTGCTGCAGTATCTATGATCGATTCTCTCGACTGGTTCACAATCGTTTATCCCTTGATGATCATAAATGTTAGAATCAATGGCGTTCTATGTAAGTATGGCGACTCCTCTCCCAGCGGTTCACTCGGAGTTCAGAGAGGGAACTGAGAAATATAACTAATGCACACATGCCCACGGCACTGAAGCGCCCATCTCCGCGATATAGTATTCTGGGATTTCTCATGCGCAACACTCACGCGCTTAGTCGCCTGTAGAATAGTCCGAAACTTCTTCCTTCTTCCATACATGTGATTCGCATCACAGAGAGAAGTCTACTTTAGTAGAGGCTGGGATCCTGCCTACGAGAGAAGGGAGTGAAACGCGCGGGTTCCAAAGTCCAACCAATTAAATTGACATTCATTTACATCCCACAATAATCACTGCGCACAGACATATCCAATCCTTCTTAAAGCCTGGGATACATCGACACCATTCTGATTCTTTACCACTCGGGCCTTTTGGCTTAGATCAAGTGTAGTATCTGTTCTTTTAAGTTTAACCACTTAAACGATCCCATTGGGATCTAATTGGTTATCATATTTTTGACGCCCTGTCACTCGAGCCTCTGCTTGCAAGCTCTTGGTCACCATGACCCTGCTATTGCACTAAACGGCAGGTGTTGTGACGGGTTCAATTGTTTTTTTCCTGTTAAATATTTAACTCCTAATCCCAAACTTGCCTTGAGGCTTTGGATATGACCTTTGGCTGTGGATAAATGTACAGTACATACTTTCGCTGATTTTCTATGAATATGATCGAAATTATTGCATCACTACTACTTACTAAGGAAGTGGGAGTTAGTCTTGCCCTTTACTTTCTCCCATAGTAAGCGCTGGAACTGAATGACCGATACCGGATCCAAAGCTCAGCCATCTCTTGAGCATCACTGTCTATACTTTATTTCTTCGCATTAAGGGGAGAATCGTCCCCTAACACCCCCCTCCTTTGGGAGATGCTTATTAAATTCAAGCGCCGAGCTTCCTTCCTTTGGAATCGCTCTCCCTCAGTAAGTCAACACTTGGTCATAGAAGATTCGATGCACTCCTAACACATTGCTTTACATAGGAAACAACACGCTTGCAACCCTTCCCCGGTCTTTTTCCATTTGACATCATCTGTCTCATCATCAAGTTCTGTGATCCTCGCGAGAGGAGAGCTTTGAGCCTCACATGTCGCGCGTATCATGCGCAGGCGAGCAAGCTAGTTTGGCGCCGAATAGCTATCACGAATACTCGGAAAGTGGACGCTATCGGAGCCCTTCTTAGAGCCTCTTCTTTGATACGACAGAATCCTGCGTGCGCAAAGCATGTGCAGCGCCTCGATGTTGAGCTGCAGCGGACGAAGAAACCTCATCTACGACTGCACTCCAAGGCAAAGGTACGACTTGCCCTAGACGAGCTATGCCGCGCACTGGAATCCCTTCCGTCATTACGGACGCTGTATATTCGTATGGAGAAATGGCACGATGAGCTAGCACATCTCCTATCCTCCAACGCGACTCGATTCCCATTCCACCTCACGTCATTTGGAAGTTCGATGTACATCACTGATGGACTAGGTGGCTTTTTAACATCACAAACAACTATCAAGACGTTTTTCCGCTTACCGAAGGCTTCGAGCGGTCGTTTCGGAGATCACATCCCTAGGGGTTCGATGGATATCAAGCACGGCGCGTTACCAGCGTTACGCCAAATATGGACTCACCCTGATGCTCTCATTGAATCTACGCGCGGTCGACCATTACATTGGATTGGTTCTCCTATCGCTTCGCCTCGGCACGTTGCAGCATTGTTAGGTGCGATACAAGTGTCCAGTGCGAAAGTCCGGCATGTTTCCGTGTGTATATGTGCAACGCTGAGAGATGTATACGAGTCTCTCCTCACGTCTCTCGCGAACATAGATTCGCTTTCGACCATCACGCTTTCACTATGGGGTGTGGACTCGAAAGTGGATGGCGTCCTTGTGTTCCAACGACAAGTCACTGCGGTTTTACGACAGATATCGAATTTCCCGGCTTTACGTAAGATGGAGGTTGGCGGAAGTGATCCTGCTTTTCTTACAATCAATCCTACGGCGTTTTGTCCACGAACGATGAAGGTGGTGGAGGTGTATGATTACTCAGGTGCCTCGGGGAAGCGGTTTAGAAGGAGGAAGGCAGGAGCATCGTCCTTTCCTCCACGGGAGCGGGGTGGACGATCACGGATGTGAATGCCGAAGATATTGTTGGATTACGCTTTTACGCATGAAAGGGGCGGCGGATTTGGCGTTTGGGGTGAGGGAGAGGTGAGGAAGATGCGGACGAGCGCCCGCAACATCGTGATTGGAATTGTTGGACCCTTTGCTGCTCCAGAAACATATCTCTACACGCAACTGGTTGCACCTTCACCGCAACGATGTACTGCGGCCTCCGATCAGCTAGGAGCGTGTTTAGCTTATCTAGTTTTCCTCTTTCTTCGGGTTCTTGCGATGGCTTTCTTGATTTTGCACGGCTGACATGTAACATTAGTACGTTCAAACAAACATAGCATATGCGCATCTACGGACATTTTCTTCGTGCTAGCTTTCGAAGGCCAAGGGCCGTATGTGGCCACTCAGTTCCAAATATGTAGTTATTCGCCGGACTGGAATGTATGGGAATACTCCCACCACGTGTTGAGGAGCACTGTGACTGTTGGTTCATGATGCCCTCATACTCCGACTTTCGCACCTATAAATGTCCTGAATGCCCCCCACCCCTGCCGGAGACTCTCCACACCCCCGAGTGACCGCCATGCCTGCGTGCCTCCCCAAATCTGCGATTTTCCGCCTCAGTGTTGCTAGGTTCTCCAATGGCCTGAAGAAAGTGCGTCCTTAGACTTCCCTTCCTACCCATTCGAATGGACCCTGAGACAAAGTTCCTCCGATACACGTTCCAGGACCTGGTCACCTCATTTCCTTCTGCCTTCCCTTGGGACGTTCTCTGCTGTATCATCGCATGTGCAGACCCGGAAACACGTCGCAAGTTGGCTCTCCTGAACCGAGACTGTAACTTTGAAACGAACAAGTATGGATGGAGGCGATTGCGTATCGTTAATGGGAAGGGTCGCATAGACCAAGCGATACGTCAGGCTGCCGAAACGATTTCTCGCGACACGGCACGGGCGAAGAATGTCCGATCACTTGAAATCGACCTAAAAGGCAAGCCATCCCCATTCCGCCGGGCGAACATGGAGAAAACATTTCGGAAATTATGCCAAGCTCTCCAATCTTTAACGTCGTTACGAATTTTGCACATTCGTTTGGAGCATTACAACGAAGAACTCGCAACGTTGATGTCGGAGTACAAATTCGATTTCGAGCTCGCGTTTCTGGCTACGACGATATACATACCGGATGGCCTCCATGATTTCATCGCCTCCCATCCTGAAATTCGTTCCTTTGCTCAAATCCCCAAAGCCCAGCATTCATTTCTACGAGGCAACATCCCTCGTAGCGCTGTGGATATTAGTGCCGACTTGCTACCCAATTTGAGCGAAGTCTGGACTAATTCAGACGTCATCCCTACCACTGTGGCGAATCGACCTATCGTCTCGATAGGGACCCATATATATTCGAACGAGTCGACAGACAATTTTCTACGAGCCATACGACTCTCCACGATGGGTATCAACCACATCACCCTCTGTGTCAAGGTCGACCAGAGCGAAAGTTTCTACCAGAGACTCTTCTACGGCCTGGTACACATCGAAACGTTGCACTCAATTCACATAGACCTCTGGGGTCCAGCTACGTCTGACGCTTCCTTACTCCCTGCCATCCTTCGACCACTATCGCTGTTCCCTTCGCTTCAAAAGCTCGAATTTGGTGGAAATCGCACTCTCGACGTCCTCTCGGACCCGGCCCCATTCAGTTGTAAGACGCTGAGAATAATGGATGTCTATGATTATGCCACGCGTGGAGGGCGCCACTTTGAGCGTACCAGTACCAAGTCACCATGGGTCGGAACAACCGCCTCCATTGTGAGGTCGGTGGGATCTCGATTCTTCACGTGATGGAGACGCCACTAGTGATTTGGGTGGCGCAAAGCCCTCTCTGTGCCACAACCAACCTCCCTCTTTACCATATTAGGCGCCCTCGATGCACCGGTTTGCATTAGATTTTTATTAACACGTATGATTTGCGCAGCGAGTATACCCGTGCGGTACGTAGCAACTTTGGGATGATTTGCAATTTGCCAACGCTCAACGAACCACTCAGCCACTCTTTCTTTATAACCCCCACCCTACTCTAATGATTTCCCCTCAACCTCGAGAATGACCTCGCAATTCTTCCAGACTGACTCCAACTCAAACCAGGCATTTACACTATTCACATATATCCGCCCTGGTTTTTACCAATCTTATTCCGATCTGCAATACTACCAGCACCGACCATGGCCCATTTTCTCCTCACCCAAGCCTGGCTTGATGAATGCACATCCTGCATCTCCCCGCGAGTCAAGGGATCACCCCTGCTACCAAGCCCAGAGACGCTTCATCTCATCCAAAGCCATCGAAACCCTTGAAGAAATTTCAAATCTAAACAACACCCTCTCCTCTTGGAGGACTCGGATACACAAATTGAAAACACAGCGTGCATCCTGCCCTGCCTACTCATCCTTGTCTCAATACGCCACTGAGAAGAAGATCCGCGTTTTCGTCCACGGTCCCGATCCAAAGGTTCTAACAAGAACGATCAAACAAATCACGAAGAAAAACTGGTCTGCATGGAATCGAGATTCGAATGGGAAACCTATTCCTTGGAAAGTGAAACAATGGAGTTCTCATGATGAGACTCGATTGGCTATTTCAGAGGAGAAAGTGACACTCTTTGAGGCTAAGCTTCGCACGGCGTGCGTCATGCGTGACGCTTGGAGCTTCGCACTGCAGACGATATCGATTCGGTGCTAATTTTTGACACTCCATATCCTTTCACACGTGAGTCTTGGAGTTGAGTGATGATTTTGGTGGGGCTGTGGGGCACTCACCCCCCTTTTTTTTCAGGTTGCCTCTGGTCACACCGCTGTTGTATCACTTGTCGTGGCGTCTTGAGTATTGCCTTCAGGTTGTTGCCTGTGATTTTCTATATTCGATACATGAAGGGTTTAACGATCAGAACTGTTTCATACATTGCTTTCACGAGGCTCATTTAATAGAATGCCGATAGCCACTTGCCCGAAAATGCTAACTGACGTACTTGTATTTGCTCGGAATAAGTCTGCATCAAACCGCAACACCTTTCTATCTTATGTCCAGTGTACTGGTTCCATTACACAACACAGTGTACAGTTACAAGCAATGCATGTAATTAACAGCGTTTTACAGTACGGATTATATCATATTACTTCGTCCGAGCGCTTGGCCTGCTATTCTCCTTTCCTGGATCATAGATCGACGAGGCGGATCGTTGGGCTGTTCTGGTGACAACACTAGTCCCATCGCGGAATTGGGCCCGGAATAGCACGTTGGCATTGGTGAAGAGACCCTCCTTCAAGCTTACTACGATGAACTGCGAGCCCTTGAAGCGATTTTTGAACAGCTGCCCGATGTGCTGTGTATGAGATAGATCCAACGCTGCGTCGATCTCATCAAGGATGTACATAGGTGCGGGCTTGAACTGGAGGAGAGCCATGATCAAGGACAATGCGATGAGCGACCTATTGAATTCGTGGGTGAGCAAAACGCCTCTCAAGATGGGAATTGGACCTCAGACCGTTGGCCACCACTGAGTTCGGTTAAACTCTGTTTCCACACGCTGCCCAACTGGACTTTAACTTCGAGTCCCTGAGTCAAATCCATGCCTTCGGGAGGCTGTAATTTCGCAAAATTCCCAGGCAGTAGCTCTGCGAAGATGGCACCGAAGTCGGCGTTGACTTTGTTCCATGTTTTCTGAAGGGCGTCACGCTTATGTCTCTCAAGTTCCGCGATTGTATCTTCAATTTTCTCCTTGTCTTTTAGCACGGTCGATAACATCTTGAGGAGTTCTGCTTCCTTCTTCTCGACACTAAACACCGCGAACTTTAGTCCTATACCCTGATGTCTCAGAAAGACCGACACGTACGTCTCAATCATGCCCATGACTTTTGGATTCACCGTCTTGCGCATGCCCTTTAGCTGGTCTTCAAGCTCGCGTGCTTTTTCAGTCTCGCTTTGAACGTCACGTTTGCCAAAGTCGTATACAGTGCCTGGCTTGCCAAAGTGCCTTTTGGATCAGTGTCAGTTGAAATCCTTAGCCCAAGCCAAGGTTGAGTCATACTCTCTCTCAGATTCGATCCAAGGGTTCCCCTTCTCCAGTGCTGTGACGGCGTTGGCAGCCGCCGCACGTTCTTTTTGAAGGTTTGTGACGCTGTGCTCGGCATCCTTAATCCTAAGTTGAGCATCGCTACTGCTTGCCGTTTCTCCTTGATAACAAGGTCTAGTTCACGAAGTTCATCGTCAAATCTGGATAGCTCGGCACGCTCTTTCTTTAATTTGGCTTCAATTTGGTCGTGACCAGCCTTGGTGGTGTGTGTGAATAGAATGCATCACCGTTCAAGCCGCACTCATTACATACCTGATGTGCCACTCGCCGCTCCTCTAAAGCTTTAAGCTCGTTAATGAATGTCTGGACGCTCGCTCTAGCTTCCTCGACTTCATGCTGCGAAGCATCAATGTCTTTCTCCGTTTGCTCTAGGAAGGTGCCCAGGCTCCAGTGAGATCTCGGAAGCACTATCCATAGTTCACATATTTACCATACTCGAGTGTCGCGGTCTGCGTCTCTTTCTGCAAAGTCTTCAATGCGGTAGCTTCCTTCGAGAGCGCAGATTTCTGTTTGGCGATGTCGCTTTTGAGCTCCTTAAGCTTCGAATCCTTGTTATTCTTGAACTCGTCCATGTCTCGTTCCAACTTTTTGCACTCATTCTTCGCATCTTGCTGTTTCTGCTTGGCAGATCCCATTGTTTCGCGAAGTTCAACCAATGTTCCCTTGAGATTTTCGACTTCGGCGCCGAGCTTCATCGCCATGAATCACTATTTTCCCGGAATATTAAAGAAAACATACCCTAGACGCATTACTAGCTCCGACCTGCTCCTCAAGGAGACGTAACTCATGAGTCTTGATCTCTAGCTCGCGCTCCAGCCTTCGCCATGAGTCCTTCCTTGCTTGGTTCAACGCCTCGGCTTTCTCGATATCCTTGAGCGTGGCAATGGCTTCAGTCAGACGAGATTCGGCTTCATGGAGCTCCTGTACCCTCAACAGGGTGCCACTTCCGCTCGGGGCGCTGCCTCCACTGAGAAGACCTGAAGGGTCGTATACATCGCCTTGCGCGGTGACGGATTTCATTGCGATGGCTTTGTTAAACGTAACTGCCTTAGCAGAGGCCGCATCATCGCAAATGATGGTATCACCAAAGACGTATGCCATGGCTTGCGCAACATCTTCAGAGTATCCAACGAGTGATAAAGCAAGATGGGCTTTATTCGGAGCGACTTTCTGGACGGCTGCCAGTTTCTGATAGGTATCATACTGATTAATGATGGATAAAAAAAACATCATATCACGCCCATACCTCAGCAGATACTCTGAATGCGTTGATTTTGTTCAAAGGAATGATCGTCACACGCTTCTTCAGGTTCCCTTTGGCGAGGAGCTGGGTACCGACAGTCTCATCCTCGACGACAACGTTATAGAGTTTCCCGCCAGCAGAAACCTCCAAGGCGGTCGAATATGTTGAGGAATCTTCGGGAAGTTCGATGAGCTTTGCGACTAAACCCTTGACCTTAGAATGATCGAATGACGGTGAAGGACTCGAATATGTGAACTCAAGATGAGCCAGCCTATTCGCAAGCACGTCCCTTTTCTGCACGGTTCAAGTGAGAAGAGGGGTGGTATGAACCAATCATATGATTACCTCTGTTAAGGAGCGAACGTCTTCTTTTGCATCCTTTATTCGATTCGACGCCTCCTCTTTCTCCAAATCCCACCCGGTCGACTGGAGCTTACTAGTTAAGGCTTCCATCTCACTCCTGGCCTTTTCGAGTGCCTTTGAACCATCCTTTGCTTCTTTCTCCATGGTTTTCCACTTGGCTTCCTTCTCTTTCAGTTCTTTCTCAACTATCTCGATTCGCATCTTTATCTGCTCCTCTGCTGCAGATGCAGACGTCAAACGGGCTTTGGCTTCTGCAAGCTGACCAAGATAGCCACCGGCTGAAGACGCGTTCTGTGCAGAAGATAGACCAGTTACTAGAGTCTGCAAGAGTTCCTCGGAGGACGCCAGTCTGGCTTGCGAGGCTTGATGCGACTCCTTGGATGACGCGTAAGAAGCTTTGCGCTCGTCAACGTGAGACCTCTGCGCCTCTAAGGAAGCCCGAAGCTAGTGCAGAATTAATGAGTCATATATAATTGTTTTTCACTGTTTGGGAAAGCTCACGTCAACAAGTGCCTGCTCAAGCGAGTTCACTTTCTTTTCCTCTTCTGTTATAGTGCCCTCCATGAGTTCGGCCTGAGTACCAGTCGTGCTAGCTCCTTGACGCTGACGCTGAGTTCCTCCTCCAAAGCCTTTATCTTCCCGCCTTTCGCCGACTCCCTTTCCCGCTTCTTATCAACCCTTGCGCGTTCCTTCTCGGCCTCTGCTCCCTCGCGCTCTTTTACTTCGGTTTCGTGCTGTGCTTCCTGAATCAAGGTTTTCTTCTCTCGAATGGCAGTATCCTTTCTGGAAACTCGCGAGTTGGCTTCAACCCAGTCATAGGCACGGAGGAAGCGCGCAAGGCGTTCCAGCTCCGATGTCGTTTTTTGGAAGGTTAGGAAAGAACGCTTCTGTTCCCGTAGCTTGTCTAGCTTGGGCGTAATTTCCTCTTGGAGGAGCTAGTAAAATTCTGGTGCATCAGGACATAAGTGAAATGAGCAATGGCGGGACGCACTGATGTGATTTCCTCCACTCGTTTCTCTTTCTTCCCCATTGTCTTCTTGGCCTTTTCTTTCCTATCTTCAAACATGCGAGTACCAGCAGCTTCTTCCATCATTCCAAGGATCTCTTGGGGCCGCATATTGAGAACCTAAGTAAGAGAGTGAGAAGAGTGACGTCAAGAGAAGATCGAGCGAACCTTGGTGATTCTTCCTTGCATGATCACAAAATTGGGGTTATTGATATTCAGCTGTACAGACTGAAGCAAACTAAGTACAGCCTGTTGCTGGACCTTGTGGCCGTTGAGAATATACTTCGTTATATTCGGCAATGCAATCTGAATTGTAATGACTCTTAAGTCGACTCAGTGTACGTCGCCACTAAATTAAACAACCTGCCGAGTCAAAGTAATTTGCTTGCTGTTTTCTAAACCAGCGGGGCTTGCGGACTTGTCCGAGTTGTCGAAGACGATAGTGACGCTCGCTTTTGTGATTCCCGCCTGTCCGCGCTTATAGATGAGATCTTGTTGATTTTGCGCACGCATCTAAAGCCATGGCGCTACTCAGCCCCACACGCTAAACATAGGCGATAAAAATACGTGCTTGTTGCATGTTTGTGATGCCTAACACAAAACATATTGCATCGAGGATGTTGGACTTCCCGGAACCGTTGAGACCTGTGATTGCATTGAAAGACGAGTCCCACCCTGATATAGTGGTTCGAACGGGGTACGATTTGAACCCTGGAGATGCGTGAATTAGTGTGGTTCCTCTACAACTGTGGAATCTGAAGTAAACGTGGTCTGACGCCAGCGATCGTCGCATCGAGTCGCAATGAAAGCTACCAATCGCAAAAAAGCCATTGATGCACCGGAACATAGAAAGATAATAGACACGACACGCTCACTAGCTCCTCGAGAGTACGTTAAAAGTACCAGAGGATGTTGCGGCAGAACGAAAATTTGGATAAGCATTTCGCGCGTAACAACTTACCCTCGATAACGAGCTCTTCGATTCGCATGTCCAGCAACTACTAAACACGTCAAGGAAGCCCCGTCCGTCGCGTTGATGTTTACAGTTGTTATGGATGAGCGTGTTTGATTCCTCGAGACAAATAATTGCTGACAGTCTGCCAGCCGTGTCACTGTCAAGATGTCAGTAAGCAACTGGTCTATATTTCCTGCCAGTATGGGATGCGGAACAATTAAGCTGCAGAATTTAAGCTCGTAATGACATTCAAAAATGCCTGATTGCTAAGCGCGCACGAAACCTGCTGGTCCTGCTTCAATTGGCAATGTAGCAGCCACGAGGACCTGAGAACTTACATCTTCAGTATCGGAACCCCTTTAAACCCCTGATCCTATAATGGCCTCGGATCTGGTCTCATTGGGACTTGGCGTGGCCGCAGTGTAATTATCGAAGTCGTCAAAGAGATACTTACGTACGCCGAGGTCAACAAATTATTCGCTTCGCTTCAGCTGCATCTTTAGAGTCTTAGTCGATTCTCTAGGAAGTGAAGGACAATAAGGATCGGTCCAGCGACTCGCGACGAAGGCGGAGGAGTATCAGGGAACGCTTGCTCTGATACGAGATCAGAGGCCGAGCCCCAGACGGAGTGAGTCAATTCATCATGTCAGTAATACACCCTGACGTCAAATCATAGCGAAGTTCAGGAATCTTTCCGTCCATTTATTGAGTACTTCTTGCTACCTTAAGGCGTTTGCCCAGACTTTGTTGATTTCAGTGTCCTCGAGGAAATCAAGGAATGCATGAAGGGTAACGGTCAGTTGCGCTGGTGGGAACGAGTGTTCCCAACGAAGAAAGCAGTAATGCGGGAGCAGCTCATTGCGTTCGAGGAGCAGCTCGATTTCCGGTGGAAATGCTCCAGGTTCGTGCTTCCGATGAGCCAGTATCCATCTTAACTAGCAAACGTATGATAAAGACGGACCTAACAACAAAGGTGCTACACAAGACAGGTGAAACATCGAACTGGGCATCTACATTTAGTCAGACACAATGTGCAGTAAACAATGCAATAGCCAAGCCCAAGAGGAAAGTTTGGATAACGACAAGAAGATCATGAGCAAGGTGGATGAGATGGCTAAGACACTCAGCATCTGCACCCACATGTTCAAAAGATTGACACCACACGTCCTCAGCTCTTAGAGCTTGGCGTGCACCACGAAACAACACTCATCACACGGGAATTGTTTGGCTCTATCGTGAGCGCCCTTCTCTCCATGGACACGTCCTTATACTCATTCTCCGGGAGGAACCGGGCGCCTTACACTGAGTCATGTAATGCTTATGGAAGCGATAGACTCTTATCGTGCAACCGGCCGCTCAATTCCGAGCATTGATTCAACTGAGCTGACTGCCACAATTCAGATGGTCCGGGGAGAGTTCGCCGTAATCTGGAAGTGCGTCAGAGCAGCGCGATTCGTTGCGGTCAAGGTATACCAAGTTAGCAATCTTTTACACGATGTTCAAAGGCTAGAAAACTTTGTTTGCTCATTGTTATTGGCACTGATTGGGGTCTATTTGTAGAGTTTTCGATGTGCGTCTACACCACCTCGTGCGAAGGCCTCCTAACGGCAATTTGGCAGCGAGTCGTGCGTGATATTGAAATATGTAAGCGAATCCAAAACAACGGAGGTCATAAGAACCTTGTCCCTTTCATTGGATGTTGCGGTCCCAAGGGCCGTGTGCCTTACATCATCAGTGCGTGGATGCCAAACGGAGACGCACGCTCCTATGTGCGCGATAGAGATGGAGATGAGACCGAATGTTTGAAGATCGTGAGTGGGAGATATATTCCACATTTAGATCCTAATGTCGTTTCTAGTTGTGAGTGAGGTGTGATCCATGATCATAGGAACGAGATTCAGTCAACCCAATAGTATCGATATGGTCGAAGGTCTTGGTTTCCTTCACGATATTCGGCCAAACTTTGTTGCTCATGGAAATCTTAAAGCAGTAAGCCCACTACAAATCATCGATGAACCATAGTAAATCTTCGTTTGTATGATCATCATGTTTCAGAGCAATGTGTTGATAGACGAGGATGGTTCAGCTCGGCTGGCGGACTTCGCTCTGGCATCCGTTCGGGATGAGATTCTCGACACGGGAAGTCGTCCCCCACCAGTACAATGGTGCGCCCCAGAGCGATTAAGGGGAGAAGAAGGCAGTTCGGAAACGTCAAAAGCCTCAGATATCTACTCTTTTTCGTGTACCATCCTTGAGGTGTGATCCCTCCCCTCCCGCTGAAGTCATTGGACCATTTTGGGTAGATTATCATTGATAATAAGCCGTTCCATCAAATTAGGGACGTGAACAAATTGCGCGCCAAAATCGCGGAAGAAGGCCTCCGTCCATTGTTCCCATCACCCCATGCGGAGGCAAGGGGCCTTGCAAACGAAAGATGCCATTTATGGGTTTTGATGAACGACTGCTGGTCACAAGCTCCTGAGCAGAGACCTACTGCCGAAGAAGTTAGACGCAGGTTGAAGATCATCCAACAAACTGTCTGATCTACTCAGTTGCGCGCACATGTTGTTCCGGCGCACGTTCTCCATGGGTGTATATTAGAGAATACGCAATTATCACTAAGGAGTTCAAACATTGCTGCACTGGGCATGCGAAATTTTAACCCAATCAATGACAGTAACTTGTCATGTTCGTGTCGGACATGTCGACGGTAACCGGTTGAACATCGAGGGCTGTCCCTCAGGCTCGGCCGATTCCTATGATTTCTACACTGCTTGAGATGGATTAAAGTGCTGGTCATACAGGGCATATTACTATAAACAGACAGCATGTACGTGGACTACAACCGGACGAGCTGATGAAATTCATGGTTCCGATATACAGGTTCAGATCCTATTTCTTCTTCGCCACTGCCCCTCGGGAACGCACAGACTGAATATCCTTATTTCGCCCTGCAGTGGCGGTCGCGGTCCTCGTATTTGCTGAGCGCAACCGTTTATTTATCGGGTTCGTGGTCACCAGGATTGAAGTGGCGATGTTAGCAGCCTTTTCACGAAGGCGCGCGCTCCGTCTAAGACCGGAAGCTTCCCCAGGTTCGTGAGGTAACAGTGTACTCCTGGGAGCGAGGTAGTCTCAGGCTCGATGAAATTTCGGTAGTGCAATGGTCCCGACGAGCAAGAGAGCGAGACGGTGGCAGAGATGGGGGTGTATCGACGGATTCTGACGGATGCGCTATGTCCATGGCTCGTGCGGTCGATTTGGTGTCCGTTGAGATCTCTTGAATGTGGTTGGAGCGGCAATGGATCAACTGCAACATGGGATCTCCCGAGTCGCGAAGATGAGGCCGTTCCATTCGTCGCCCGGCTGTTTCCAGCGCTGGCCCTTGAACCAAACACCGGCCCGAACTCTCTTGAGCGGGCGTTTAGTATCTCCCTCAAAACTCCCTCCCAAATTCGGATTCCGACTTGGCGACTGATCTGAAGGAAGCACCAATGCTCGCTCGCGCTTCAGGGAGGACCTCGTGCATGGGCCTTTCGAACTGCGGGAAGAGCGTTCTGATACCAAGGAGATGATTTCGCGCTGGAAGCGACACCATTTGTATGAAATGCTGGGGAAGGAAGGTCGGGATTTCGGAAGGCGGAAGGGCCGAGGGGCAGTCCAGTCACATCACGAGGTTTGCTAGCATTGGCAGGGGGTAAATTTCGGGTCCCAGGCTGAACGACGAACGCCTTCATTCGTCGCAGCTTGAGAGCTAGAGATTACAGTTAGAAAATAGTCAACGACATGCTGAGATCCCAAAAGTACTCACGATCATGTTTTTCGTCGAAATATTCTTTGACGAATGATGGTTCGATTGCTTCCGTTGCTGCCTCCGTAGAGATCGATGCAACAGAGATCAACCCTTCCCGACACCGTGGAGAGCGGATTGGCGGCGTCGGCGATTTCGATGGCATGGTGGGAGCCCGGAATGGGGTCAAACCTTTGCCATCTACGCGATCTTCGTCGCTGGGATCCTCTTTGTTATCGCTGAGCTGCATTTCCAACGCCTCCTTCGCGTTCTGCAGCGTCTCGAGACCCACTACCTCGCGCCGCTGCTCCGCCATAGCGGCATTCTTCCTGTTCTGAACATCAGAAAGCATGGATTCAATGCCACTACGATATGTTTCGAATGAAGTACGGTGATCGATGGGATTTTGAATACGAGAATAAACGTTTGTGTGCGATCGACTCGTTGGAGTCGAGAACGACAAGGATACAGTGGAAGGGGACGGAAAATCTAATTCTGAGCACCAGAAAGCCGGTATGGCTGCTGGGACAAGTACCGGTTGGTAGATAGGTTGAAGAGCGAGTGTTGAAGGGACTCGACTCCGCCCACTGTGAGGTTTTGTGGTGGCGCGCGCGGAGTAAAAACGCGGACCTGGGATCTGAGTGGCTGGCACAGATCTAAGCGGACAAATGTGAGACACAGGAGAACAAACCAAACCTAGGTTAGGTGCGTGAGTATTCATTGTCAAAGCGTTTTCTCTCTTAAGTTTGCTTATTGTGACCCCAATGTCAACGCCGTTGCTGTGGGGGAGTCAGAGCTGGACGCTTGGTAAATTCTAGTGAGCTGGTGTCGATTACACTTCGAGCTTTTAGAGCGCGACGCATCGTTACGAAACATTGTCGTGGTGGCTTCGCCTTTGCGGGGAAAGAACGGACGAACACCACAAAAGATCAGATACTTTGTTTCCCCCCGTCATCCATCCCTAGAAACAAACCTTGTACCACCAAGACGTTTCTAGGGGAGCAATCGGCAACGAAAGATGCCCGCAAGTACTGCGCAACTCATCGACTTCACACCTTCTCACGTGTATGGAGACTCTTCGGTGCCGAACTCTCTCACACTCGCTTCTTCTCACGGTTGGATCTATTCTCACACGGATCCAATCCTCTGTCATCCACGTCACAAACCCATCCAACATGGTGAGTACTGCCGATACTCTTCTTCGCGGCGCCCGCTCACTTTTGTGTGCTATTATATCGCGTAATGATAGCCTCCGACTCAACTCAACAAACCAAAGCTTCGCGTTTTCTCATTCCCTCTCTCAGGAGCACTCCGCGTACTCTTCGGCCTAATCTTCCTTTACTGGCTTACACACTTCCCCCTGGGAGGCTGGGCCCAATAAGCCTTCCGTTAGAGTACGGCATCCTCAGAACTATTGTCAAGTGGGTATTGTACTCGGTCGCCGCAGTACACGCCTGGGAAGCTAGCACTGCGTATAAGCTCAGCACGGATCATCGCGCTCCAGCCTCGGTCACCGTAAGAGACTGGTGTATTGTATTTCTGGGCTCGGCTCACTTATTTTTCCGATTTTAGATTCTTTACACTTTGTCGACTTTTATTTTCGGCTTTCCCATCTTGAACGAAATGGACCGCCAAATCAGGCGTTCCAGGACAGAGACTATTTCGGCGAAACGGTCATCTTAATCTCTTGTAGATCTGGACCCTCAACGAAATAATGAACACCTTCGACCATGATCTAAGGGCGATTTGGAAGCCAATGTCCATAATTTGATTTGAACCCGTGTAACTTCATACAGTACTATACTTTCTTTGCAAAGTCCCGACGTGATGCCCCGTCTTCCTCCCACCGGCTAGCCTTTGCGCGTGAAATACCCACAGTGGCAAGGTACTTGTTGCCGTGGTGGCATGTGCTAACTTCAGTTTTCACACCATCGGAGTCGACTCCCAAGGATATTGTCCACTAACTCGCTATACATTGCATTGTGCCTACCAAACTTGGGCTTGTTCCGTGGTCGCAGCCTCCCGAGGTTTGAGTAAGAAGAATTTGAGCCGGCCACTGCTTTCATAGTTCCAATTGGACATGGCTTTTCTGGGGCTTAATGACGATCGGTCAAAGAGGGTTCCAGCAACTTTTCCAGTTCGTCAACTTACATAAGCACTGAAAGTCATTTCACACTTCACTTTATTTTCGTGTATTTATTCCAACCTCTGCCCTCGGCGCTCTCACGAGCAGCCTCAAGTTTGCAGGATAAATATCCAGAATAAACAACAACAACAACAACGCGATCTCATCTTGAGGTACAAAAAATTACGGTACAAGCATCAGAGCTAGAGTGACTTAGTCAATGGCTTATGACGGATGTTGAACAGATCATGGTACGCTCTAAGTTGGATAACACAAACATTGAAGAGGCAGTGTTATCGGCGGGATCAAAGGAGGTCGCGCGGTGATGGAGGGATAGATGGAACGCATGCTGAAGCACCAGCGGCGAGATGAGGGTGAGGGATAACTAATTCTAATCGGATTTACAGTAACTTAAAAAAAATCAATTTGATTGGATGACCGCCTCGCGTTCACGTCGGAGAGCACGTAATGGTAGGAATCCGCTTTTTGGCCCATTCCGTGCACAATTATACATGCCAAATAAGGATGTATCCACTAACAGGAAGACAGGCAGCCCGTTATATATGGGCATATGCCAGGAATTCCCCGAGAAGCACGTCAACATGAAAGGTGGGCTTTGCTCACTAACCCTCCAGGTGACAGTAAATGTCGTACCCAGATAGTACCGGGAACAGCTGGCCGTCGGAATAGGCAGGTTACCAGTCTCTATTGTCAGAAAGTCTCACGAATTCGATCGGAAGGTCATGTGCCCTCCGTTGTTGCTGCCGCCGTGCATCTCGTTTCCTTTCTCAGCGTCGCCAGACGCGTTTCCCTCCTCGAAGAGCGTGTGCTCGCTTGTTTTATGCCCGCGCTTACGCGACAGAGGACTCTAGGGTTAGTTGTACCAACCTCGATGGAATTTAGGCCAACCTGTGATGAATGTATTTATGGCTCGTAGAAGATTCTTCACCATGCCACCAGGAACAAAGTCAACACCCCAGCAGTCCAGCCTGAATGAAATGTGGAAGAAGGCTGGTACAAAAGGGAATCGACAGGCTCACGGTTCGAAACTTGGTTCTGCCACACTTAGCGCGAAAGTCGCAGAGAGCATGGAACTTGACAGCGAACATCCTACCACTTCAATGACAGGTGGGCAGCCTGTTGTGAGTTTCTCGTATATGTCCTGAGTCATTCTCAAGACTCCAATCAACCAACGTCCAATTTGTTACCAAAGAGCAAAGGAAAGCGAATAGGTAAGTGCATGCATCCCAAGCGCAAGTACGGAGGGGTTCAATACTCAGGCGTTATCCAGAGGTGGATACTGAGCCACGTCTAAAGCGGCGACGCATTGTTGAATCCTCCGACGATGAAGGTCCTTCAGACAAGCCTCTCGGCACCGGAGAGACAGAACTGCAAAGTAAGTCTTCCCGCTTGCTAACCTCGATTGCTCCCTCTGGACTATGTAGACACATAATAGAGCCCAGCCTGAGTTCCAGGTTATCGGTAATAAATGGAGAGCTCAAGGTCCAAAAATCAACGAGAGCACCGAGTGCAGACCAAAAAACAGGTGTAGGGGAAGCGGAATCGGATGCTGAAAAAGCGGAGGAAGGGGATGAGGATGAGGATGACCTCGTAGACGTTGAGGCTGACATCATGCTGTCTGATACAGAGGGTGGCGCTACAATTAGCAAGGCCGCGATCGAAAACGCCACGAAGGTGGTTGACGTTGACATCAACGGAGGATGGGAAATCGGGCAACCGTATGTTCTTTGCTCTCCGGCATCCACTGCACACCCATCTGGCATACAATCAGGGTTCCCTACTCTTCCCTTGCTCATGTCTTCGGACTAATTGAGGCAACCAGCAAGCGACTCGAAATTACCTCAATCCTAACTTCTTTCCTCCTTCTGGTCATCAAACGGTCAAAGGAGGGTGATCGTTCTTCACTACTCCAATCCGTGTATTTGTGTATCAATAAGGTGCGTGATTATCAGTGGACTTCTCTGAACACGTTCGACATGTTGCTGTCTAGTTGTGTCCAGATTATCAAGGCTTGGAACTTGGTATAGGGGAGTCGCTCCTCATCAAAGCCATCGCTGAAAGCACAGGCCGCAAAATGGACGCCATCAAAACCGACCTGAAAGATGTCGGTGACCTTGGATTAGTCGCGAAGGTTGGCATCTCGACAGTGTTTCAAGTTTTTCTCTCACCTCTTTTGACTCTTATTAGAACTCCAAGAACAGCCAGAGGACCTTGTTCAAACCCAAGTCACTCACGATCCCATTTGTGTTCTCTCAGCTAACTGAGATCGCAAAGACTGCAGGTCACTCAGTGAGTGCGTGCGCTGTCCCGTGAGCTGTTTAAAATTGACGGTTGGCACTAGTCACAAAATAAGAAGATTTCGATTATTACCAAACTTTTGGCTGCCTGCTCAGCAACAACGGACGAAGCGAAATACATCATTCGATCGCTTGAAGGTGCGGAAAATTGCATGCCCACTCGATACTTACTTAGTTTACCGGTGCAACTGTCAGGCAAGCTGCGTATCGGTCTAGCCGAACGGACACTGATCGTGTCCCTGGCACACGCCCTCGTGTTACGAGACCAAGAGAAGGGTGATCATTGGAGTTCGCTACCCTCTTCAGCTTCGAGTAACTCTTGCCTTGACTAGCCGGCCCGGCAAAGAGCAAAGAATCACTGGCACTCAAGCTGGAAAGAGGAGCGCAAGCTCTGAAGAGTGTGTATAGGTCAGATCGTACTGATTAGAGATGGGAAGTTTATTCACCATTCATCCTCAGTGAGCTACCATCGTATGATCATGTCATTCCGGTGCTACTGAGAGTCGGGATCGAGGGGCTCAAGGAAAAGTGCAAGCTAACCCCAGGTTTGAGGACTGCCATCAACCCTGTTCCTTCCCTGGTTTTTGATGAATAAATCAAGGCATTCCTCTGAAGCCTATGCTAGCAAAACCCACGAAAGCTATTGGAGAGGTTCTGGATCGATTCGAAGAAAAACGGTTCACTTGCGAGTATAAATATGATGGCGAGCGAGCACAAGTTAGTACGATTCGTGCATATGAGCCTTATTCAGTTAACCAAAACGTTGCTTTTTCCAGGTTCATAGATTAGAAGATGGCACTATCCGCGTCTTCAGCAGAAATTCTGAGGATATGAGCGCCAAGTATCCAGACATCTATGAGCAACTACCAAAGGCATGCAATTTCTCCACGTCCAAAGGATCACCTAATTTCTCGTGTTTGCATTCATTAGGCCATCCAAAGCAATACCACATCATTCGTGTTGGATAGCGAGGCGGTTGCTTTTGATCGTACGACCATGAAGCTGTTGCCTTTCCAAGAACTCAGCCGCAGAAAACGGAAAGACGTTAAAATTGAAGATATCAAAGTTTGGGTTTGTCTATTTGGCTTCGATCTGCTTTACCTTAATGGGGAGGTATGTTTCCCTGTCTTGTAGCTTTCACTTGTTTATTAAGCACCGCCATTGCAGCCACTTCTTCACAAGACGTTGGCCGAAAGACGGACACACCTGCATCAGCACTTCCAGGAGGTGCCTGGCGAGTTCATGTTCGCCAAATCTTCCGACAGCGAAACAACCGAGGAAATCCAAGCTTTCTTGGAAGAGAGCGTCAAGGACGGTTGCGAAGGCTTGATGGTGAAGATGCTTGAAACTGACGCCAGCTACTACGAACCGAGTCGGCGGAGTATCAATTGGCTTAAGGTATCTCATCGAGCTCCAGGGCTGCTCCGCTTCCCCTGTCCCTTCTTTTGATTATTTCTCGTTTTTTTTTCTTTTCCAGTTGAAGAAGGACTACCTAAATGGAGTAGGAGACTCCTTTGATCTGGTTGTCGTCGGCGGCTACTACGGCAAAGGAAAACGCACTGCCGTTTACGGTGCCTTCCTTCTAGCATGCTATGACTCAGAGTCTGAAACGTTCCAGACCATTTGCAAGATCGGGACAGGTTTTTCAGAGGAGGCTCTGAAAACACACACTGAAGCACTGAAAGGTTTGGAGATTGACAAATGTCGCTCAGACGTTGATGCGGGAGGTGCGAGGCCCGATATATGGTTCGAGCCAAAGATGGTGTGGGAAGTGTTGGCTGCGGATTTAAGTTTAAGTCCAATATACTCGGCCGCAAAGGGAACAGTGAGTTCCATAAACCGTCCACCCTGGCCTGATTAGCCTCAAACTATTGACCGCACGGTTGCCATTTTCACGTAGGTTGACTCTCGTGGAATCTCGTTACGATTTCCTCGGTTCATACGCATCCGAGATGATAAGAACGCGGACGATGCCACAGGTCCAGAACAGGTGAGATTCATTGTAACTCAACGCGAAAGAACATCATTTAGAGAGTCTCTGCGCATTCAACTTAGATTGCAGAAATGTATGAGCGTCAGTCACTGGCGAACAAGGGCCCAAAGAAAGGCGCAGCGGAGGACGATTTCTGGTGATCTAAGCCCCAATGTACTGGCACTATGGTACCCGCGAATTCGGTCCTTTATGTACAATTTTCCATCGATCACTGCTGAGAATATGAAAAAAGAACGCAACCCATTCATTTATACGTCCCTGGCTTGTTACTGGTCGCGGGGACAGTTCCTCATTCAACAATCATGAGTGTACTCCGCTACAAGCAGCGCGGGCTACGAGGTGAAGTACGATACTCGAGTGCAGACGAAACAACAGCAAGAAACCATGCTAATCGATCGTCATCGACGGTGAAGTTGCGATTATAACACCCCCAATCTTTCCTTTCGTTCTTCCCATTATCCGCCTTAGTCGGCCTGGTACAAGGCGGGCCCTGCTACCACATGTGTGTTGATCAGGCTTAGGTTGAAAGGTGTAACGTGAATCTTCCTATCCACCAGCGCGATGAACATCGTATCATTCACGGCGACATTATCATATGTCTTCATGCCTGGGACCGGTGAATCGGGGAAGTCATCGGGGGGGAACACAATTCCACCCGGTTGGAACGTGCTTGCCGTACGCGAAGCGAAGTTGATGTTGTGAAGGGGCGTGTAAGTCACGTTCAATTGGGAGACCCAGAGCGCCCACTATAGCGAGATATAACGACGGCAGTGACCACCGCCAGCAAGGTTGTGGTTTGAGATCCGGCAGTGGCGATAGGACGGATACCATGCGGAAGTATTATTTATTGGTTTATTGGTCAAGCTTCAGACGTTCTGGAACTAACCTTGGGTGGACCTTTGGCGGTTGAGTGAGTCGTATAGCTTAAGTCGTAACTCGTCTTCTTCCCAGGAAGATCCCACCTGAAGTGGACCTCTCTTCCAGGAAAGCTCAAGCTCGTACGATTCGTGCTCAATGCTGCTAGGTAAAACGGCCCTTGAGTAGGACTTGTGGATGGGTAATAAACTTCGGTCCCCGATTCAAAAGAGACGATCTCGCCCGAAGTTGTAGTGTCGATGATGGATGGGTTGTTAGTTATGTTGAGGGCTGGGAAAATCTGCCATCTGCGTTGTACGCAAAATACATTTAAGGTGAACCCACGTTTAGCACGTTATTCCCATTCTCAAAAGAGCCAGCAGGGCCGTTGTGTAGAAAAAACTCACATGATACGTGGATTGTCTTTCGGACATGATTTCAAATAAGGTGACAACATCGTCCAGGCCCACGCCTGGGGTAATCCTGTTGTAAAGTGGAGAGCCATGGGGAAGGCGCCCTCGAACTGTTTAAATACAAACTGCTGACGGGCCTCAGTGGTTATGGACTGAGTGAGCAGTTGCGCTACGGGACGTTGGTTCAGATGGGGGAGAAAGCCGTAAACGCCAGATTCTCCAAAGCGAGTCAATCTGTAGGCGGTACAAATAAAAAAGGGGTGGTATGTCAGAAATAAAAGCCTTCATATACCTGTGCACGCCGTCCTCACTTTTGGCAGAAATCGAGGAACTGGCGCACATTGTGGAAAGGGTACTCGTAAATGCATTGCTTTGCAGACGTAGCTAAAGATAAATAGTCACGAGGCAAGTTGCGTCTCAGTCACAAGTACGTTCATACATGGAAGGGGACGAGTACGCACGTCCAAGCATGTTCGTGATTAACTGCGCATGTCCGACCTCTTGATCCGCCATGTACTCAATCAAGAAACGATCATTCGCGTTTAATCCAGCAGCTTCAAACTCGGCATCACTGAATCTGGCTAAGCCATTGTGAAACAAATCGAGCTAGCATAGACCCTCTTAATCAGTACCCTACACTCCTGTGCTGCCAGTCTGGTATATTAGTGTACTAGGACTCACCTCGATATACTCCTGATTGAGTGCTAAGTTCAATGACTGGAAGTCAAACTCTGTGAACGTGTGGTAGACTGGTGGGGGGTCCTGTGGACGGACACCAACACCTCCCTTGGGCGTGAAGGGCAACGCCCATACATCATTCACATCGACATTCACGATGAGTGACAAAGATACGCACAGCACTAGTTTCTGTGTGTGGCGCATCATGAAGGTCAACGAGAGGTCGACGGTTTAGAAAACAAGTAGAGATGGCGGCCCCAACGAGTGAGGGTGCGGTTCATCTACAGCTCCTGAACAGACTTTATAGTGCCAATGTGGCTGCCCGAACTCCAAGAGTGACATTGGAGGAAGTATGTGATCATACCAGTAGAATACAAAGAATCAAGTGAGCTTTTGCAGCAACTGAGAGCAGAAGCATACGTGGGCCCCGCGCATTCTTGTAATGCTTGAGCCCTAGAAGGTTGGGATATCACCACGGAGATAGACGGTGATGCGTGGGAAAAGATATTCCCAAGCGTGAGCCGCCGGCTTGGCTCGAGCGCAGGTTCCCTAGCACCAAAGTACATTATCGCAGTTGCCAGTGGAGCGACTTTCAAGTGCATCGAGTTCTAAGTCTAGCACTTCGCTTGTCCTCCCGCTGGTCATTCACGCACAAACGACCATAGCAACCCTGCCTTGGAAGCTTTGGCTAGTTCGGATACTAAATTTCTTATCTTTGGGGGGACATATGTACATGTGGCAGTCGATTTCTGTGCTTCTGTAGATGACGTTTTTTCACATTTGACCCTGATCTGTCAGAAGAGGCTGAGAGCTCTCTCTTCGGCGTATAAGCCGCACTAAACAGTCTATGGAGAATTTCGCATTCTGCTTTCCTCGCACCGTAGATGACCCATCGATTCCTTGCACCAGTTTGAGTGTAATCACTGACAACAGTCCGGCTCTGCATACCAAAAAGCGGAGTCACTCCCCGAGCCCGCCCCATGCATCTCTTGTAATTGCACAGGGAGAAAAGCTCATTGACGTTTCGATGCAGTTCGGTTTACGTCTTGTGCATCGAATCTGGGCCATCCGATTTTGTTCAGCAAGAGTTCGCAATCTTCTATCATAACCCACTACCTATCTATGCATCCTCTAGTTGATCTATAGCTAGATTTCAATACTCTGCGTCATGCTGGGCTGCGCTGGTTTACTGTATACTATGATCCGCCGGGATTCGCACAACTTGATCCGGCACTATCATGACAAATAACCGATCGCGGAGCCTTATTCCGAATGGGGCGTTCTGAGGGATTATGCATGGGAGAGTGCGACCTGTGGAATTCCTCCACCACGCTATTCCCATTTCCTCAACCCCGAAGGTGATGGGTTCATTTTTTGTGCTGATAGTCTGCAAAAGTTCTTTGAGGTCCAGACGGCACATCAGGATGCATCCATGTGGTGCATTTCCTAAAGAACTGGAGATTAATTCCATGACTGGTCTGATTCAAGTAGTTTCAGTGCTCTTAGCGGAAGAGATTCGGAATGTATTCAGGTCCGTCTGTAGGACCCGGACGAAGGTAGAGTTTTGGTTCAGAGGACCATTACTATCAAGTGGGAAGAAGCTATCCGCAGAACCTGCTACCCCGGGCAGGAACAAGAGAAGCATGAACGTTAATTATATGTAGCACTACGGGTATGGAAAGAGGGCTTCAGAGTATGAAGAGCTGTATACGTGGATGGGGAATGTATATCGTGTCTGCAGCCTATACAAATAGACCAAGTTTCTACATCCCAACAGATATACCATGCAGAGTAGGCGGATGGATGTCAGAGATGCAAGCAATGGTTGCGGAGGAGATTTGGGAGCATGGAACCCCTGCTCCCTCAAAAGCTCAGAATTGAAATCGCAGCAGGAGTAGCGGGAACAAGAGGAAGAGGCACGGATAGTAAGGAGAAGTGCCTGTGAAGCCTTTGCTTAGAATCACCGCATCTAGGGATTCAATTTCCGAAGATACTCTTTGATAATTCCTATGCTTGACCTTGTAAGGAAGTAACAGGGATTCCCAACTTTTCGATGGCGCCGGGGGCCGTCATAAATCACAGATGCTTAACGGAAACTGCAGCACCGCCAGACTATTTCCAACATTGGCGCAGAGCGCCCGGCTCAGAAATAACACCAGAAGCTACAGGCCTATTATCTGTGCCACAGGAAAAACCAGAGGAAATCGAACCCCTAAACGCATTGAATGTCGGCTGTGGACACTCAGCATGAACAGAAATGAATACATGATTTGAGTCTATTTCCAACTCCGACTTTTAACTGCATAGCAGTCAGAGGAATTGGCAGGCGCAGGCCATCTGAACACACTTACGAGCCGGGGTCTAGCTGATCGTCTCAGTTTCCGATGTGCGTCGCAGCAATACTGACGCCGTGGGAGCGTTGGCATTGCTCCAAGTCCGGAAACAGCATACTCCGCAGTGGGCTGCCCAAGAATAAAAGGCAACCAGGTAAGTGAAAAGTGGCCCTGAGTTGCAGAAGCTGCTGCTTCTCCAATGGTTCACGTGCTGATGGCGCCTCCAGCGCATGAGTGGCATGAATCTCGGCTAAACTGCACAACAGTAGCCGCCTAAGACTACAGAGAAGAAATCATTCGTAGTACTAGTGCGAACATTCCGCCGAAGGAGGTGTGCGGAATCCGCCGAATCGTGGAACGTCTCTGGAACCAGAAGCCATCGCAACCTGGTTCGTAGTCAACATGTCCCAGAGGTTCGGCAAGGTCATGAGCGGTCACCAAGTGCTGGGTATGCGCTCGTTCAACACCTTTTCCTTAGGAGCCCTTTGGCAAAAATGAGCTGCCAGACATAATTGATCGGAATCAAGACCGAGACACACGACCACTTCTGCTTCTTTTGCATTTCAATGCAAAGAATCCATTGTCCCAGGACCAATTTCTTGCTCGTTGGTCTCCGTGGGTTGGACGTGAAAGGCGACTTGGAAAATCACGAACGCAGTAGGACCTTTTCCGCAACAATTTTCCCTGCCCTTTACTGGAGACAAGAAATGTCGTGTGTCTAGACTAGGGAACTGCACTCCGTCCAGCCAAAGGTTGTGGAACAGCTAGGCGGGGCACCAGCCGTTGTTGGAACGAGGATCAGTGAAGAACGGACATGTGCTTATATAACGCTAAAAATAAATTCGATTACGCTGTAATTGGACGAGCAGAGGAAGCGCCATGTAAGGATGCCAATACTAGGGCAACTAATCCGGATGTAGTTGTGGAGAGTCCATCTTCCGCTCTATTCTGTTCGCCCAGACGAGTCCCATAGGATCCTAGCCTCTACTAAAGAACATCAGTTCAATTCACTTCGCCACGCGCCGCTTGCATTTCCTTTTCTTCACTCTGGTTTTGCTCCGCTTATCTGCCACAGTTTCGATAACGCCTTGCCTGCGAGAAGTGTGGCGCAGGGGGCCGGGAGAAAGAATCAATACGGCGAATGGCAAGCCTTCTTCCCTTGCCGTGTGCTCTTAGCGCGCTTCTTTTGCTCTATGCTCGGATTAGCCTGGCATGTGAGTTGAGCACCCCAGATCCATCGGTCGGCATTACGCAGGGTGTTCAGTTTTACGTATCCTGGGGGAACTGTACTGTGAGCCTTACGCACTGGTTGGCAGCGATAAGGACTGACGCTGGATCTTTTTTGAACCATATCACCATGTGTTGACGCATTGCCGTTTCTGGAACCGATGTTGTCCAATGCGTCCAACGATGCAGACCCCCGCTACGCTCACACTCTGGAGAGAGGATACTCAAAATGACGTAGTTATGAATTATTATTCCGTCAGTCGGCCTCCTGTCGGCTGGTGCGTCGATCACCTTTCTGCAGTTGATGCTCGCGATCAAATGGATTACTTACGCTGCTTCAACGGCACAACAGGACCATCAATGGCATTCAATTTACATATTCAACCGTCTACTTTGTTCTGGTGGATTATTATGAACTCAAGGCGACAAGTATCAAGTATGTAGTTAAGGTCCGTAAGATGCATCTTTACTCGTTTGCTTCGCTCTCCCGCCATTGTCCGACAAACTCCTTTCTCCTCCACCCGATATTATAGCCGAATCCGCAGATTGGGAGTTCGTTTCCAAGTGCTTTGTCAGTTAGTACCTTGTTCATTCGGCCCGGGGAAGAGCTAGGTTGATTGTATCGGGTTTTTCTTCCATTAGGAGCTTTCCATTGTCTCGGCGAGCGTCGCCTCAGTTTCGTCTACGGTTAGTGGCCCTGAACCTTACTTTTGACGGGGAGTTTGATACGGCATACCCCTCACCGTCCTTTACGCACTGTAGTCTGTGGGCGGTCAGACGATATCACCAGGCAATAACAAGACAGGCTCCACTTCATCGTTCCCCTCCAACACAGGCTCCCCATCCGCCAGTACTTCTAGAAGTTTAACACCATCAACCAAAAGCGGCAAGTCCGTCCCTGTGGCAGCTATAGCATCCATTGCTGCTGTGGCCCTTGTTGCAATTCTTGCAGCTGTTGCCGTGTGGACTAGCCGCTCCGCAAAGAAGAGAAGGCAACGAGATTTGGACCTGCCGCCTCCATATGCCTCGGGAGAGGAAAATCCTCTGTTACATGACCATCCAGAGGGGAGTGGCAATGCAACATTAGCCAAACAACCGAAACAATTTGAGGGCATACCAAAACCATCAAATACCCTAAATTCGGCAACGTGAGCACACTTACCATGCCACAAACATGCATGCGATATTCGTACCTTCTGGAAGTGGGTTGGGTCTGCATACGATTGGCAACCGTCATGTATAATATTGGGGTTCCTCGAGAACGTTATGTTTCGGCAGCTTGCATGGACCGATTTTGATGTTTCTTCCGAATTGTCTGTTTCCTGTATCCGATTATGTGACCGCTTATACACTATTTGTTTAATCCGTGTCCGTGCATTGGATGCGAGGGACAGTTGTACCCAAGGCTAGCGGCGAGATGTTCCTTGTGCATGGAGCGCCCGTGTGTCACGAGCACTGCAGTCCGCACAAAGAGGCGTATTTGGGTATACGGATGCTGACTAAGAGTCGAGGGAGGAGGGCAGTAAAAGGGGGAAGTGGCCTTGGTAAAGTGAAACTGCTGCAAGTAGTGACAGTGACTATCTAGCACAGTATTAAGATTAAGACGTAGAGATCATCGAGTCGCAAACATAATGCCAATGGATATATAATTACGTTTGACAGGTGGTCTCCAGAGCCGGTCGCTCAACAACCTTTTTCCAAACTTGGTTGGCGCTCCGAGGGCACTTCCATTCATTGAAGAAAGTGTTCTGTCTCTACCTCCAGCTAGTTGCCCCGGAGCATACACCCCCATTTGGCCATGACATTCAACAATAGCTCTTTTCCCATCTCGGACAGCACCCCGAGGCACTCCACTCATTGAAGAAAGCGTCACACTCTACCGCCAGCTAGTAGCCGTTCACCCAGGATCATGCGATCCCTCAGTTGGCCATGTCACTTAAATTCAACAATCCATATTCAGCTCTTTCCAATCTCGGACGGCACGCCGAGGCGCTCCTAATCATGGAGGAAAGCGTCAAACTTTACCGTCAGCTACTAGTTGTAGTTCACCCCGGATCCTCCATTTTCGGGTTATTCATGTCACTTAGTGGCTCATATTCAGCTCTTTCCAGCATCGGACGGCACTGTTCTGATGCACTCGCATTCATCGAAGAATGCTTCGGCCTCTACCCTCAGTTAGTGCCCCTTCACCCAGAATTTGTCGCCCAATCCAAGATGCACGTAGCACTGTTTCTAATCTCGGACAAGTTGTTCTGAGTCCTCATCCGAGCCTACCTGACGGTATCAACCAATCACCACCGTCAATGCCCTCATGTACGCTTACAGTGTAACAATGGGATAGCTGTCTCATATTTGCCTGAGGGTAACGGACACTCGTTGTTCTTCTCACCATCCCGCACATTCCAGTTGCTGCGCCGGTTCATTTGTCGCCTCCCCGTTCGGTCTGCGTCATTTTTATTGGCCTCCTCCCAGGAACCTGCACCCCAGAATGCCTCTCAGCTATCCCAAAGTCTGGCTTCAACGTGGCCCCATTTTCATCTCCTTTTGTCGTTAGGAACCACTGGTTGGTATGCCGGTGTTACCTCCCCTACCGCTCGTCAGTAGAGTTACCCCATGATCATAATCATCATGAAGAGTTCTTTTGCTGTAGACGACATCAATGCAACGGGCTCTCATAATGCTTGTGCGAAATATGTAGTTCGTTGTGCCGTCCTTCCTTGTTCCCAATCTCGCTGATTGTGTGCGCGCATTTTGAGATCAAGGCCAGTGGCATACTGGTACCCTCTGGATCGCAGCCGAATATGAAATCCTACCAGTTCCTATCTTGCCACTCCTCGAACCCCTCCCTGGCCTTTATCATCTACATGCTGGTCTTGGGAAGCTCACTGCGCACAAATTTCTATATCTAGTGCCTTATGTATCTAGCCTCTGACTAAAGCCACTGGAGAGTGCTCGGCCGCCCCCCGCAGCAGCGCAAGTTTAGATGGACTATTTCTGCATAAAACAATGGTTTTTTTTTTGGCGACACATACGCATTCACGACTACATTTTGCATCTTACCAACATTGTTTACGTGCACTCATCTTATCCACACCATCGAGAGGCTCGTTCAGAGACTAAACTATATGGGTGCTGTCTAAGGGGCCTTATGCGAAGAGGGAGGTCTCGAGATGGAAAAACCAAAACTGGCGCGAACAGGACCCGCATTCACTCTCACGTTAACAATCACTCCGTAATTTTGAGCAATGAACGAGCCAGTGGATCGTATTGCACCTGAAAAATTTAACAAGCAAGAACTGAACGGGGACAACTAGTTATTATCAGAGCCTTGACGGAGATCGTTTAGTTCTTTGGGAGATACTTGATCCCAGAGCTGGGACAGCTGCCAACTTGTGGAGCAGCTATAAATGATCAGGTCAGCTGTGAAAGACCAATTCGATTCGACTGGGGTATTACGCACAGATCGGCACGAATTCGCCATCGATTAGTGAACCCTTCAAGTTGAAGTACCAATAAATTTGATTGAGTACTTGGTTCTGGGGGAAGTGGTGATCATGTTTGTTAAAGTTCCCACAGGAAGGAAAGCATGACCATAACTCACGGTGCAATATAGTGCAGGTGTGTAACCTCCACTCGCAGTTGTCAGGGCATTGGTGAGGGATGTTAGTGTGTGAGTGACAGTAGAGCTCGGGGTTATACGGGCATTAGCCAGCCAAGTGTAGGTTGGAAGGGTCTGCATCATGACCGGCTTTAGCTGGGGTACATAATACCATTTAGTAGGTACACTTCACTTGGAATAGCCCTACTGCACGCTCGAAGAAACTGACAGCCTAACCAGTAAACGTGGGCGTTGACCTTCCCCATCGCCAGGATCTAGATGACGTACCTCTTCGCCATTCGCGTAATTAATGATACATGAGGGGTTCAAGGTGCTGTAACACGTCCCATGTGTGCTCCATTCATGTTCCCAGAAAGATTCCGGAGTCCCAGAGTCAGGTACCCAGTAGGTATTCATATAGGATACCAATGACTGCTGCCCCGCGTTGTTAAGGAGGCCTGTAATGTCCGTATAATCGCGGGCGGGGTCACACGAAGTGTCGTACGTCAAATCACAGCTGACAATGAGAGCGTGATGTCAACAAGCCATATGAAAAATGGGGCTGCCCATCGGTACCACTGACTGGTCTGAAGAGAGTGCATGAGTATTACGAATGTCCTGCAAAGCGATCAGTGAGCCTACTTACCAGGCCATAATCCGAAGATAGTCCATCTGCACGCATTGAAGCTCTGAACAAATTGAAACGACAGTGCAGCTAGGACTCACGAGTCACTTGGACCAGTGGATGGATTCGTATCCCTAGATTATCCATTGAGACCATAATTCCATCGCAAGCAACAGAAGACGCCCACCAAAGTTGTGTTTGAACGAGTAAGCCCTGGCGGGTTGATATCATATGAGCGGCAAAGTACAAATCGTACGGGGAAGAGAGAGAGAGACTCACACCTGGCGCCTCAAAACAACAGAGGTCTGTCTGAATAGTCGTGTTCTGACAACTGGCTGGTCCTGATGTTCCGCAGTTGGTTGTGGATCGACCGAACAGTCCCGTCCCGACATCCTGACTCGTGCGGGAGCCCAAGTTCCGCCTTGGGCTTGAATGTGCTGCTTGAGCGGCGCCATATAGCTGAGACACAGCAATAATCACAGAAACCGTAGAACTGAGCATCGTTTGGATAGTAGCACGACCCGGGGGAGTTCACGAGAAGGGGGGGGGCTCCTGGAGGTCCATTTATAGGAAGAGACAAAAAAGCTCGGCGGCCTTGATTGAGACGAATAACCGGTGTCGATCATGTTACATATTGTTAGTTATTCAAAAGTGACAGGGAAGCAGACGCCAAAAATAGATGTCAATATACAACTGTGTATGTATACATACTAACTCTGACTGAATGTGGCTGTGGTAGTACATACATAACTTGTGCTGTGCTTGAAACTGTCTAGAAGGGGTTAGGAAAATACGCTGAAATTCAATATGCAATACATAACGCTACATCAATAGCGTCAATGTTCAGGGAGGGAGGACCTGCACGGCGAACGTGATCAATGCTCCAGCCATGTTTGGCGGTGCCAGTGGGCACTTGTCTCATGTAAGAAGCTTCCCTATTTAAAACGTTGACATCGGAATATTCCCAATATATATAGGCAATCAAATTAGATCGCCGTTTTTTTGTGTCACTTGATGCAATCGTATGAAACATGCAGCGACTTGAAGGGTCCTGTCATGGATCCAGTACGTGTTTGGCGTTATTATGACATATTTACTCCGCCTGCACGAAAGGAAGTATTCGAGGCCACCACTCAGTATCAACAGCTGGTGTCCATGCACTGGCTAATGTACTTCAGCTTCGGTGGAATCTGGAATCCTGAAGCGTACAAGGCAGCAAGCGATTTTGTTGTGCTCTGCCGCTGCCTTACTCGGGCTCTACACCCCGTATGTTCTTTCCAATTTCGGATGGTACTCCATCAAGGCGTCACCAGCTACTAACCGTTCACGGAAGATCACACCGCGTTTGGCTGGGTCACCCAACAACCTATATGACGCTTTTTTCCAAACTTGGTTGGCGCTCCCATCCATTGAAGTGACCAGGAACAGATTTGGCTGCGTCACTCAGCAATCTATACGCAGCTCTTCCTACATTCTCCCACTACCCCGAGGCATACACAGGCTCACCGGCCGAGCTTGTGAGGCTTTTGTTTCCAGCGGGGGTTCAATTTTTTTTTTACCGTGATGGCCAGTGACAAGTGGCCACCCCGTGGGAAATGGCCAGACATCTCCGTGCAAGATCCAAAGGTGCCACTCACAACACTTGTGTTGCAGGTTGGGGACAGGCAATGCGCTGAAAGCTCGGCCATCCAATTTGAGGGGAACCTTCATAACAAAAGTAGGTTGGTACATCTCTTTTCTACGTAACTCGGACAGCACTCGGAGGGCGCTCCCATTCATGCAAAAAAAACTGGCGCCAAGTTGCCGCTCATTGAGGGTCATACTTCCCCAACTTGACGTCGTCGCTCAACGATCTGCATTCAGCCCTTTCCAATCTCGGACGGCACTCCAAGGCGCTCCCATCCATCGAAGAATGCATCAGCCTCTACCCTCAGTTAGTTACCAGAATTTGTCCCCCCAATCCAAGCTGTACCTGGCGATACCAACAGTCACTCCCGTCAATCCCCTCATGTACACTTACAGTGTAACAACGGGATAGCTACCACACTGCCATGTATATCACGAGACTGCGGGGTATCTGGCGAAAATCATATTTGCCTCAGGGTAACGGACACTTTATTGGCCTCCTCCCAGGAACTTGCACCCCCAGCCCAGGACGCGTCTCAGCTATGCCTGTGCCCCCCCCCAAAGTCTGGCTTTAACAAGGCCCCATTTTCATTTCCTTTCGTCGCTAGGAGCCACTAGTTGGTATGCCGGTGTCACTTCCCTACTGCTTGTCAGTAGAGGAAATGTCCCATGATCATCATGATCATGAAGACATCAATGCAACGGACTCTCATAACGCTTGCGAAATGTATGCCTCAATGTACGTTCCGCTTGTTCTTCTGTGCCGTCCTTCCTTGTTCCCACTCTTGCCGATCGTGTGCACGCATTTTGAGATTGAGGCCAGTGGCGCAACTGGCGCCCTCTGCATCGCAGTCGAATATGAGGTCTTACCGGTTCCTACTTGCCACTCCCCGAACCCCCCTCCCCGGCCTTTTTCGAGGATATCATCCACATGCTAGTCTTGGGAAGTTCACTGCGCGGAAATTTCTGCATCATTATACCCATGTATCTAGCCTCTAACTAAAGCTACTAAAGCGTGCTGGGGTGTTAGGATCGATGGCAAAGAGCCGCGGAGCGGCATACGACGACAGCCGAGAGGAGTTATTTCCCAAGAGACATATTGTGGACAGGCTATGCAAACCCACCTAAGCTGATGCCACCGGCATCATACTGGTCACAGGCCACACCTTTTCCACGACTGGAATTCTTATTGGCAGTAACGTATGGACCGACGGAATCCGAATACGGAGCCGAGAGCAACCGGCGTGTCCCCTCTCGAGCGACCCAGGTATTTCTGTCATCCGACTTTCGCCCCCGCAGCAACACAGTTTAGATGGACTATTCGGTATTTACATTAAACAATTTTTTTTTGCGGCACATACGCAGTTACGACTACATTGCGTCTCACCAACGCATTGTTACGTGTGCTCATCCTCGAAATGGAAATCAAAACTAGCGCTACAGGACTCTCACGTTATAATCATTCCGTATTTGAACAACGAACGAGCCGCCGGATCGTATTGCACCTGAAAATTCTACAAGCAGAACTGAGTGGGAACAACAAGTTATTATTAGGGCCTTGACGGTGATCGTTTAGTTCTTGGGAGATACTTGATCCCAGTGCTAGGACAGCTGCCAGCTCTTGGAGCAGCTATAGATGGTAAGGTCAGCTGTGAAAGGCCAATTCGGTTCGACTATTGGTATACGCACAGATAGGCACGAATTGGCCATCGATTAGTGAACCCTTCAAGTTGAAGTACCAATATATTTGATTGAGTGCATGGTTCTGGGGAATGGTGATCATGTTTACTGAAGTTCCACTGAAGAGGCCATCACTCACGGTGCAATATAGTGCAGGTGTGAAGCCCCCACTCGCAGTTGTCAGGGCGTTGGTGAGGGATGTCAGTGTGTGAGTGGCAGTAGAGCTCGGGTTATACCGGCATTGGCTAGCCAAGTGTAGGTTGGAAGGGTCTGCATCATGATGGCTTTAGCTGAGTACATACGCCATTTAGCAGGTACACTTCACTTGGAATAGCCCTACTGCACGCTCGAAGAAAATGACAGCCTAACCAATAAAGTGAGCGTGGCTCCCCATCACAAGGATTTAGATGACGTACCTCTTCGCCAGTCGTGTACCCAGTGATACATTGGGGCCGCAAGGTGCTGTAGCACGTTCCATGTGTGCTCCATTCATGTTCCCAGAAGGATTCCGGAGTCCCAGAGTTGGGTACCCAGTAGGTATTCATATAGGATACCAATGACTGCTGCCCCGCGTTGTTAAGGAGGCCTGTAATATCCGTATAATCGCGAGAGGGGTCACACGAGGTGTCGTACGTCAAGTCACAGCTGGCGATGAAAGCATGATGTTAACAAGCCATGTGAAAAACCATCGATACCACTGACTGGTCTGAAGAGAGCATGAGTACTGAGAATGCCCTGAAGCGATCAGTGGGCATACTTACCAGGCCATAATCCATGGATAGTCCATCTGTACGCATTGAAGCTCATGAACGAATCGAAACGACACCACTATAAGCTCGGACTCACGAGTTACTTGGACCAGTAGATGGATTCGTATCCCTAGGTTATCCATTGAGATCATAATTCCATCGCAAGCGACATAACACGCCCACCAAAATTGTGTTTGAACCAGTAACCCTGGCGGGTTGATATCATATGAGCGGTAAATACAAATCGTATGGAGGGAGACTCACTCCTGGCGCCTCAAAACAACAGAGGTTTGTCTGGATAGTCGTGTTGTGACAACTGGCCGGTCCTGACGTTCCGCAGTTGGTTGTGGTTCGACCGAACAGTTCCGTGCCGACATCCCTCTGACTCGTGTCGGAGCCCAGGTTCCGCCTTTGGCTCAAATGTGCTGCTTGAGCGGCGCCATATAGTTGGGACACAGCAATGACCACAGACACCGCAGAACTGAGCATCATCTCGATAGCGTGACCCGGGGGAGTTCACGAGAGGGGCTCCTGGATCTCCTTTTAATCGTATGGAGCAGTGCCCCTGAAGCAATCTCATAGGAGGGGACCGAAGCGAGAGATAGCGGCTGCAGGATCCTATCGTGGATCCATGTTGGGATCGGTGTTCAAGATAGTACGTGTTTGGCGTTATTAATTACTCCGCCTGCACGAAAGGAAGCGTTCGAGGCACTCAGTACGGTATGCCAGGACCACCCTGCACTGCAGCCGAGCAAAGCATGCAGTGCCAGCCGACCATAAGGTAGTATAGTATGCATCGCAAGCGAACCTCCACTATCTCAACTATGGATCATACGTAAAAGCAAAAGAAGAGAACCCTTCCGATTGCTAAACATGGGCACCTTTGGTGAACGTGGCTGAAAATCATTCGCAATGTGCAGGAGCATCTCATCTGAAGACGCAACTAATGACAGGACCGCAGGCGACCTGCCTTGATAACAAGCCAAGTCTTGCCGATTTTCGAAATTAATTGACGCGTATGTACTGTAACTCGGATATCAGGGCGCACTGATTACGGCATACGACCGATTTCAACCCATCGTGGCCAGCCGAATCTCCACTAGCGTCAATAGGCTCTTATCGTCGCCATTGCTATGAATATTAATGTCTTGTACGCACGTGTGGAATGCCCACAAGGCATTGGACAATGCAACGCAAGCCATCTCAGCTGTCCTGTGAATTGTCAATTCAGAGTGACAGGCCGCGATTTGTGCATCGATTAGGATCCGTCTGTTGAGGGTCGCGGTGCCAAGCTGCAACTCATCATCCGAACCTTGTACGTTCATCGTATGTGAACGCTTCATGCATGGGGAGAACTGGATGACTGTATATGGGATCGTGAACTTGGAAGAATAACGTAGGGAGCCCGAGGACGAAAAACTTAAAACGTTAAGGCACTGAAAGCAGTTGACCCTCTAGCAGAGGGTGTTGGACAATGAAGGCTTTTGGATTCATCCCGCAGGATTCGTGTGATACCAGCAAGATATGGCAGTACTAGCATCAGAAGCCATAGCGGAAGCCTGTTGAATCGATATGTTCGTGATTATAACTTTCATGAGGGCGCCGGGCGTCGCCATTACGGTATCTTGATGGTGGCTGAATGTTCTGCGCAGGACCGTACAAGGATACGTCACTCTGCATGAAAGGCTCGAATTGAGAAGAGCGCAACGACGTGCCGTGTCCAGCCAGTTGAAAATAGGCACTCCAGTTCTTCTTTTTCCATATGATGCCCACGGGGACTATGTAGTCCCTCCCCGTCGGAGCCCAACGTGAGGAAAATCGCCCAATGCAATGGCAGCAAAGTTTTCAACCTCGAAAGAGCCCGCGCGATGCGGAGTGCTCAGCAGTGGGTGCCCCTGCGTACTGATCCTTAAGGCGCCCCGGCAACCATCGCGGAAACAATAGGTCGACAACGATCATGTACGCCGTTCAGCAAAATTTAGCGACCGGTGTCAATTGCGGGAAATTTGTAACCAGAATTTCAATTCCACCGCTCATGCACTCGAACAAGCATGATCATAGAGACATTGCATTGACCATAGTTACGTGCATGTAGGTATGATGACAAGGGAGTTCAGTTTACAAATCGACGATCGACGCAAAGGAATGTACAGCACATAGCAGAGAGTGGGCGTGAAGACGGGGCGAAAAAAAGGGGAAGACGACATCCGCGACCTATTGACCACCACGAAGACGAAGGACCAAGTGGAGAGTCGACTCTTTCTGGATATTATAGTCAGACAGCGTGCGCCCATCTTCAAGCTGCTTTCCAGCGAAAATCAAACGCTGCTGATCTGGTGGGATCCCTTCCTTATCCTGAATCTTCGTCTTCACATTATCGATTGTGTCGGACGACTCAACCTCCAAAGTGATCGTTTTACCGGTGAGGGTTTTCACGAAGATTTGCATACCCCCTCGGAGACGTAAGACGAGATGAAGTGTAGATTCCTTCTGGATGTTATAGTCCGACAGCGTCCGACCATCCTCGAGCTGTTTACCGGCGAAGATGAGTCGTTGCTGATCTGGGGGGATTCCTTCCTTATCTTGGATCTTCGTCTTGACGTTATCAATCGTGTCCGACGATTCAACCTCCAAGGTAATGGTTTTACCGGTAAGAGTCTTCACGAAAATCTGCATCCCTCCACGAAGGCGAAGTACGAGGTGAAGGGTGGATTCCTTCTGGATGTTGTAGTCAGAAAGGGTACGACCATCCTCGAGCTGCTTTCCAGCGAAGATGAGTCGTTGCTGATCCGGGGGATACCTTCCTTGTCCTGAATCTTGGTCTTCACGTTGTCGATGGTGTCCGAAGATTCAACTTCCAAAGTAATCGTTTTCCCCGTGAGCGTCTTGACGAAGATCTGCATGCCTCCACGGAGACGAAGGACGAGATGGAGAGTGGATTCTTTCTGGATGTTGTAATCGGAGAGCGTGCGACCATCCTCGAGTTGTTTGCCAGCAAAGATCAGGCGCTGCTGGTCAGGAGGAATGCCTTCCTTGTCCTGGATCTTCGTCTTCACGTTATCGATGGTGTCCGACGACTCTACCTCGAGGGTAATAGTCTTTCCGGTCAATCTGATCCAAATGAAGATAAGCGCACATTCACATCGAACGTAAATTTAACCTACGTCTTAACGAAGATCTGCATGCCACCACGCAAACGCAAGACCAAGTGGAGAGTGGACTCTTTCTGAATATTGTAGTCGGAAAGAGTGCGCCCGTCCTCAAGTTGTTTTCCGGCGAAGATGAGACGCTGCTGGTCAGGGGGAATCCCCTCCTTGTCCTGGATCTTGGTTTTGACGTTGTCGATTGTGTCAGAGGACTCCACCTCCAAAGTAATGGTCTTTCCGGTCAGGGTTTTGACGAAAATCTGCATCGTGTTCGCTGACGAATAGGGTTATCTAGTGGAGCGCGATGTCAACAACAAACCGTTGGAACCGCCTGGCATAGGCATAGATCGGTAGCACCGACGGTAGTAGAAAGGCACTTACAAGCTGATCGCTGAGGAGTTATTGGACGAACTGTAGTGGCAAAAGAACCTAGTGGCTGCGGAGCAGATCTGGCGAAATCGAGCGCTTTATATGACTCCCCGATCGGAATTAGCCGGTATTGGTCCGTGATGTTCCATAGCTTTCTGGGTGTCTCCCAAGGCGCCTAGTACCCCTGATGACTAAGATCAGAGGCTTGCGATATTACGGAACACGCTCGGTAACAGCAGGATTCCTCAGCAGATGTCCCCAGCGCTCTAAGTGGCTGGACTATTCACGCTGCTAATTCAACAAAGATATCCGGCCACCTCGGAACCGTTCGCTCTCTATTAATTGCTCCCTTGCGTTGCCTCCAACGAGGGGGCCACCCTTCTTCCCGTCCCTGGTTCCGACCTCATCCAGTTTTTTCAAACACATAACTTCCAGCGAAATACGTCTACATGTCACTGGGTCGCACGCATTTCCCAAAACAAACCTGCACAGCAGTGTCACTCTCCACCTAGTGAAATTACGTAGTTTGTGCCACTTGTGCTTACGTGTTTGACTCTTCTGTGACATCACGTGTATAATACAATTGAGTTGGTGTGCGTGACTCCTCCAACAGCCAATCAAACGTTTATCTTCCATCTCTAGTGTCTCGCATGATGTCTTCGTGAACAATGTGTCCTTGAAGTCTTGAAGCAGTCGTACATTGGCATGTCCTCGAGCTCTTGACAATGTGACGTACACGTTAAATGGTGTAAGGGTCCCTCCCAAGGGCATACCGATGCACTCGATAATCTGTAAAAGCGTAAGCAACATCCATCGTTATCTGTCTCCTTTTGATCACTTTCTTGTCTCCATTGTGCATGTTTACCTTGAATGTTCGTTGGATAGGAAATGTTGACTCTCCCAGCTCTTCTATTTCCGAACTTCGATATCACTCTAATTTCACTAGAGCGCAACTCGGTGGGTATTCCATTTCTTGCACCGCACCCATCGTGTCTGAGTCTTACTAAGGATCAGCCCATATTCCAACTTTCTGCCCTTGAATTCCATTCACCACATCGATGTCGGTGTCTAAGTTCGTTGTTATAATGACTTTGCCTCTGATTGCTAATTCCACGACACTTGGGAACCCTCTCAATCTGCCTGTATGACCCTCTTTGAACACGTGGTGGGCTATTGCCCATCGTTCGGACAGTCTCAATTCCCTCGTTGTATCCTCGGCACGGAATCGATATAACACTGTCCCTGTTCTGCGACAATGTAACCGTAATGCAAGTTCGTTCCATTGTGTTCGAACTGCATGACACGCTGTCACCAATACCGCTTCACACCAGGGAGGTTCTTCTGCATGGGTTTGGGGGCAGTTTGGCATTCCTAACACGATGGCATCTTGTACCATAACTTGCATGTACATAGCGTCCCCCTCCCCTCGTGTACTATACTTAATTTCGTTGTACATAACTTCCGATGCTGATGACTCTGATTTACCATTTCTTCACTGTACATATCATTCAATGCACTTTCGCGTTCTCCTTCATTCTTCCGTGAATGCTGTGCAGGTCATTGCGATGCGAAGCACGCACTCTAGTATTTGTATTGCGAAAGCGTTCCACCAAAAAAAAATCTACCCTCAGCTTACTGCAATACGCAATACCAAAATACCCTTGGATGGGCCTGCTATCCCGCGCGGTTGTCACTGTCCATGGAATGTTTGCTCACATGACCGCTTCCCAATATCTGCTGCGGAACATGCTGTACAAGCCAGGGTTTAACATATGGAAATACTTCAGCCCTTTTGGTAATAGTCATTGTGAACCCAAATGTTGCGGACTGTACGTTGTGATTGGCGTGCCAGCGCGAATCATAATTCTCTGAGGGACACTATTTTCCGCGCCCGCCTGGGGAGCAAGGCTCAATCGCGAGTCGGAGCGGCGCTGCGTTGCCTATGCGTATGCATGCTACTTGATGAATGATGATGAGTCACGTAGGATGAACAACGTTAGCTGCAGCCGGCTGGTGGAATGGGTGCCAAGTGTATGGGGACAATGAAAAGGCGAAAAGGAAATCGGCAGAGTCGGGATGCATAGTGTCCCTTGATACGAGAAACAACCAATAATGACGAACTAGACGATCGAGCATTTAGCAATTAACTTGCCGTAGTAATGACGCCAATCCAATCAGCGCATAAAAGAGTCGAAATGAACTTCTATGTACTTAGGACGTGCCCAGGCCACGGAGAATATTGGAACAGATGTTGATACACGACGGAGTGCATAATGATAAGGAAGCGCAACCCGCGCGGAGTAAAAAAAGGCATTAATGTCCGAGATCTGGTAGTTCCAGGATCACAAGTTGATCAGGTGGTGCCCCAGTTTCTTCGTCGACAATCTTGAATCGAATCCTCTTCACTCCTTTCCCACGTTCTTCTTCTCGTTCGCGTTTCTTCGATGACGAGAATATCGGTAAAGTCGTACCCCCAACAGTGGTCCCAGTTACTTCGGCATCTGGGCCTTCGCTGAATAATCCTGGACTAGCGATGTCAGGAGGCTTAGGGATCGTCTTGCTGCTCGTTCGTAGTGATTTCAGAGGTATTCTGGGGTATCGCTGCGATTCCGGCTCAAGTTCTTTTAGAAGCTTGATCTTCGAGGGATCCTTGATCCGATACCCAGCGGAAGAGGCAGAAGACGATGGTCCATGAGAGGTGCTGTCAGTGAAGGTGGAGAGCGAAACAGGCCCTTCTGCGGTAGGATAGCTATCCGAGAAGCTGGGGGTCAATAGGATGGACGGTATGCTACCCAAAGCAGTTGGGATCCCTTCCTGGACAATCGCCTCATCGTCTTTAAACAGGGAATTGTGACATTCTCCAAGATCCTTCAAGCGTTTGAGATGGTTGAGATGTTTCTATGGGCAAAACAATGAGCGGTCTTTGTTCAAAGCAGAGGCTGTCTCACGTCGAGGATATCAATCATGGCATCCAGAGTGAATGGTTTGGGTAAAATATCGTTCATCCCTAGAGTGGATTCCGTCAATTGGACACATCCTTTTGGATCAATTGGTCATACCATTTGAGTAGTAGGTCTCAACCTCTGCTGGCTTCGAATTCGTCGTCATTGAGATTATGGGTGTCATCTGGTCAAATTTCCGAATCAGGGTCGTCGCCGATATTCCATCCAGCCTAGGCATCATGATATCCTGATCAAAACGTCCTGTTATCTATGCGGCGGAGCTGATTGCTAAATCACTGCACCATTAAGACTAAATCATATTTCTTTGAGTTCATCTTATCGACCGCTTTGAGCCCATCTTCAGCAACGTCGATTGCACATCCGGACACCTGCAGAAATTTGCTCGAGAGTCTTCTTGCTACAAGATCATCCTCGACAACAAGGACACGAGGAGTCACCGCCCAGTTTTCGGTGTGCGTCTCGCCCCGACTGCGGCCTTTTCTCTTCAACTTCGAACTACCAGTCGGCGCATCTTGCGCAATTCCCGTGAATCCATCGCGCCCATTATTTATACTCGGCTCCTTGTGCACTAAGAGCGACGAGGATACATGTTCCACACAATTTGTCTTGCTGGAGGTGGTGATCATGGGTGTAGCAGCAACAAGGACTCCAGGATCTGGCGCAGCAATGTGCGAACCGCCAAAAACGGGAACTCTTTCTTTCGTTTGGTTATGTCCATTTGTAGTCTTCGCGAATGAGTCATCCTTCCCCCCCGTAGCACCAGGCTTAGGACTACCTTGCCGAGGAACAGTCATGTCAGGGACGGCAAGCGGCGACTCCCAAGAGACTTCATGCGGGGCTTCCATTGGGACACCATCGTTAGCAGAAGCAGTGGCAAATGCCAGGCGAACCGGAGCATGAACAAGATGAATTTCACTAAGAACGGCGTCTATTGAGGGTCGAGCTTCTTGCTCTGGATGGCAGCACGTTGAGAGCAGACTTTCTAATGGCACTCCTGTATCCCAGTTCCAAGGCGATTTCCCGGATCCAATAGCAGTGAGCACCTGTAAATCATTTCTAAGTGTAGGATAAGGAGTCTGGCTGAACAGTATCTATCCATCGGCTCAATCCCTTTTTTAAGGCATAAATTCGACGGGGGAAACACGCACATGTATGCAGGTACATCCGAACGCGTAGACATCGCTCTTTGCTGTCTTGACCTCCTCGATGATAACCTCGGGGGCAGAGTATCTTGCCGTATATCCAAGTGCTGTCGATGTCGTTTGATCCGCTATTATTAGTTCGTTAATTACCCGAGATAAACCGAAGTCACACAATTGGGCATTTCCATAATCGCTGATAAGGACGTTGTGCTACAGGGGACGACACATCATGAGGCATGTTTTCAAGCTAATCTGGTATCAGCTCACTGACAGGCTTAATATCACCGTGAATTATCATAGGAACCTGATTGTGAAGATATTGCAGTCCATCTGCCATATCCCGAATCTGATTCACCATACGAGTCAACAAACCTGACCCCCTATTTTGTGGATCGATCTCACCAGTGCGATCCGATTTGAGTCTGGATGCCGTCGCAAATAATCAACGATGTCCCCGTTTGAACACCACCTGGATATCAGGACGGCCTTCATATCACATCGTTCCCCTTCAATGGCATACCCGATAAACTCGATGATGTTGGGATGGCTGAGCTTTTGCAATATCTTGACTTCTCGAGTTAAATGCTAAGCACACTGTTAATTTGTAATGATGGACTAAGCCGAAAGCAGCCCCTTACCCTAATTGTTTTCCTCGTTAGATTAACCTGCAACGGTGCATTGCTCGCTGGCGGACGGAGTTCCTTGTAACATACCTGATCAGAGACAGGGGTGTCATTATCGCCTCGCTATTCTGCCAGTGAGAGTTGGAGACTCACCAGGATGGGGTTCTCATCTGGAGGCTCCCATTGAGTGACATATACAGACGAGTAACCCCCTGACGCCTTAAGCGCCTTTGCCTCATGGTTAAATTGGCCGCTGAGATCTCGCACTGAGGTCAAACCGCGTCGAAATTCCTCAATGAATGCCGCCGACGCAGCGTCTAGATACGAAGTCAAACTCATATCTTTGATACTCTTCGCAGCTCTCAGGCTGGAGGTCGCGGGCGTGGCACTGCCCCTTTCGGGCAATCGGAATCTTGCCTTGTGGTTACCTCCCCCCTATCTCGTGATGCCAACGCTTAGGCGCTTTTTTACAGCGCTTTTGAGGGAATCTGTCCGATAAAAAGTGAAAGGGGTATGAATATGTTTCGCGGGAAATCACCCTCGGAAATTGGCCATTCAGTGAAATTTTTATTATCAATACACCCTGGACAACCCGACCGCAAGGCCGGTGTGATGCGTGACAGCCAACTTGCCAAGGTCCGCACAGCGTGACAAACTAGGGACAAACCTGGTCCGGAAGTGCCCAGGAAACGGGCCTTCTATGTCTGAGATAATTTGAATGAAAAAATTCCGTGTTTTGCTGTGTCTGTCCAAATTTTTTGCTTGGTGAAAATTGGACGGATTTGCTCTTGCCAATCTAGAAATGGAAATGTACCTCTATAGTTGCTAATTTAGGAAAATTTGAATTGGAGATTTGCATAGCCATCTCATTCCGCTCAAACGGCGTGACACCGGACAAATGAACCGCTAGGCCTGCGTGATGCGTGACAGGTTCTTGGTCACAGTATTTTCCCAACTCGCAGGCAAAGGATCCCCTTTGGGAAAGTTGGCAACCATGGGGGTAATTGCAAACTCAGCAACTGGGGTCTGGATGCAAGTACAATAGATCACAGTCATCAGTTGATTCTGAGGAAATTTGTATCCGGTGCAACTACTGGACTTATCCGGAGCTCCAAATTCTTATGACGTAAACCAGCGTGACTGGACAAATGACATAAAATGGACAAGCCTGGTATCGAACCCAGGACTTCTAGCATGCATCCATACACTACTTGCCCATTATGCCAGGGGGGGGTACCCCTTCCCTGATGGTTTGGGAGATCACTTGATCCCTTCCTCCAACAGATTCCACTTATTCAACATTCTGACAAGGTTATTATGACAGTTACAAAAGCCGGCTTTTGAGTGCAATGAGGAATTACACACCACATTCAGGCAACATACAGGTCAGCATCATACTGCAGAACAGCTTGTTTTCATGGCCAAAACCATAACACCTCTTTGCATTCCCATGGGTTGGCACCATCTGGTGACCGAGCATGCCATCAGGACTTCTTTGTGCAAGTGTCAGGGATGCATCCGGGGTAGAGGAGGCCCGGGTGAGACGCCCAACACTGGAAGCCTCACGGGGTGTGGAGCGGGCGTGCATACTGGTGGGCCTGGCTCAGGAGGCAGTCCCTGGCCACTTAGACTGAAGTGGAAAAGGGTGAGAAGAAGGCTACTTCTTCGGTTCCCAGTTCAGGTATGTGTCAGAGACCGGGTCGAGACGAAAGAGTGTCTCCGTGACGGAGGGCTTCGGCCTCAGCGACTTATGCCAGGAGCGCTGTGCCTAGTAAACACGTCTGTGCCCTAACTTACTAACTGGCCACCAGAACTGAAGAGGGTAAACTCTAGTCGATTTTATTACTGAAGTGTAACCTATGTACAAGTTGGGTATATATAGTTACAGTGAAGACGGGTCCGCAAATAGCGGAGCGGAGCTAACGGGGTTAAACATTAGCCGACTGAATATTACTGACAAGTCGGGTTACGGGGTTAACGGAAAGGAGGGATAGGCCCGAAGGTAGGCTCTGCAGGGCAGGTGAGTGTATTGCCCAACGGAGGCGGGAGTGCGCTAGCGGATGACGGAGCTGTCCGGAAGTCTTCAGGGCTCCGTACTTAGGGAGGCGTAGGTAATAAATTGAAAGGAGGGGGTGGTGACCATCGAGGGGTACTGAGGGGATTGCGGAATATGGGAGCTCTGAGGTTAGTGGAGAAGGAGTGGGAGTAATCGGAGGGATCGGAGGAATCGGAAGTCGATGGCCGGGGATGGATATGACAGTGGGGGGCAGATCGGGTGTGCGTACTGACAGGCCCGATGTGGGACAGTGGTCCCTGGCCACTTAGACTGAAGTGGAAAGTTTGAGAAGAAGGCTACTCCTTCGGTTCCCACTTCAGGTTTGTTTATATACATGCAGCTTAGATCACATGACAGGCACCACGTCACCCTTGCACACAGCCATAACCACCCAGGTGTCTCCGTGGGAGATCCCGAGGGCATCCGGTGCAGGCACACGTACTGGGCACAGCGGGAGGTCGCCCGAGGTGCCCGGGTCTGGTGTATGGTGGGCGTGCTGCAGATGGGTCAATAGTACATTGATACAAAGAAGGTCATCCATGTAGAATAAAGAGAAAATAAAGAAGAAGTAAGATAGGGGGAAGGTGTCAGAACCGTGTGAATCTTTGCCGATGGTAGCCGTAGGCGACCGAACGTTTCCCGCTAGTGGTAAAGGTGTCCTACGCACGACCGAGCTTTAGCGAGGGATAAACCCCACCGATCTCGAGGCCGAGGCTACTTAGGTGAGTGAGCCGGGATTTCGGCTTCAACGACTCGAGGTGGAGCGTTGCACCTCGTTCTCGATGCGGTCCCGATACTTCAGAAGGTCGGAGGTCTTACGGGGGACAGAGGTAAGCTTTAGGGGGTAATTCTAGTTGATTTCGAACTACAGTACAAGCATTAGTTACAAGCTGTATATAAGCGCTAGGGAACTGAATAGGGAATAAGTCGACAGATCTCGCGGAGATTGCGGGTGGAGAAAAGAAGGGGGAAAACAAACAAAGAGCACGTGTTCAAGACAGCGAAGGTCAAGCGTGACCTTTGCCACGAGATAACAAGGTGCGGCGAAACATGGGACAACGGGTTGCGGCGCTCTGCGCCGCTAGGTCGTTCAATGACAAGTAGGAGAGGGGTTGTGGAGAGGTGGTGGGAAGTGGTTAGACAGCGACAGGCGGCGAGCGGAGTGTGCGGGGAGTGTTCGGGCATGGGAGAGGGTCAGGGAGGAGGTCGTCTGGCCCTGGGGAATGCGGGGTTGTGACAGAAGGTGAGGAAGCATGGATGAGGAGAGAGGAGGGAAAAGGGGGATGAGGTGAGGAGGGGTGGACAGCGGGGTATTGGGTCAGGTTGGGCCGGGTGGAGCCGGGTCCGGCAGGTGTGCCCTGACAACGTCTTCACCCAGTTACAGGTGTCGCATCCTGAGATGTACTGGGCTATGTATCAGGGCATCTTGGGCCACCAGTAGTTGTGGGAGATGAGCTCTAGGGTCTTCCAGCGCCCTGGGTGTCCTGTTGTTGCTGAGTCATGGTGGAGTTTCGGGTCCCTTGGGATGTACATGTTAGAACTGTCGGATTCGGACAACTCTGGAGTGGAATCGGAGACTTAGCATGGAAGGACCTCAGCCTCAGCGACTCAGGTGGAGCGCTGTGCCATTGCTGGTTGTCCTGGGGGTCCCTAATTTCGGATCTAGCAGAGGGAAAGTCTCTTGGGGGAATTCAAGTCGATTTTGGACTGAGGTTACAAGTTACTATGTACATTGTATATAAGGAGGGGTCTGGAATCAAAAGGAGCGAGGGTACTCCGAAAGGAGACAAAGGGAGCTGGAAAGAGGAGCAACACCGAGGGTCAAGGGTTTTGACTCAATGGTGTTTCCCAAAGGAGGAGTGAAGGGCCAAGGCCCAAGGAGGAAGGAAGGAGGTTGGGAGTGGGGAATGGCTAGCTGACTGAATAGAAAGGAAGCAGCAGCCCAAATAGGAATGAGGGAGAATAGCGGAATTGAATGGAGCAATGCAATAGTTGCAAGGTCCAACGTAAGTCCGGAAAGTCCGAACTCGGAAGTTAAACTCCGGAATATTGGCAAATGTAATTAAATGGAATGAGCTAACCAATACAATGGGTATAAGCGGAGGTGGGGTCAAAGCCCGAGGTCGGAGCTAAGACTGGAGGTTCCGGAGACGGAGACGCAAACGGGATTCCAGAGCGGAGGTCCGGAGTCGGGAGCATAGGTGTTGCGTGCTCGTCTGGAAGGTGTTGTCAGGGCCCGGCCTCCGTCCGGGGGCGGCCCTACCTCAAAGCTGGACACTCGCGGTGTCCCAGGCAGCCAGGTGCTGGATCCTATCCCAAGCTCCTCAAACTCACTAAGCGGGGATTGAGTTGTCATGTATTATGGAAGGTAGCTACAACTTGCCTAAGCGGGGATTGAGTTGAGAAGAAGGGTAAGTTTCCCTATTCCCCGCTTGGCTGCTATAAAAGGAAATGTACTGTACAGTTCGTAGCGTGACTATGGGTAGAAGCCGAGCATGTTCCCGCGATGCGGAAAAGGTGTCACATGGGTTAAGGCGAGTTGCTCGCCTTGACCCACGTGATTTTTCCCACGGGTTCGCATGCGGGCTGTAGTTGTGAAAGATGGGAGGATGAGGGAAGTGGGGGGAGGTTAGGGAAGGTGGTTCTGGGGTTGTATGGTCAGGTGTGGTTGCCCTGACAGGTGTCGAGGATGAGGTCGGACCCGGAATGTTCCGGAGTCGGACCGAAGGTGGTGTTGGAGCTGGAGGTGGGATAACCTCTTGGAAGTCAGCAAGGAGGAGGTGGCAGAAGGGAAGTAGGACTCTGGAAGTCAGGTTCGGAGTTCCGGGAGCCTGGAGCGGAGGTCGGGATTGTACGGATATGACAGTACACCTGTCCTCAGTAGAGGATCAACTCTCCCTCCT